TGCTCACTACGTGCTCTTGCGCGCCGAATCCAATCAATTAAAAATGAAAACTGTTGCCAGCGCGAGAAAAGAAATATCATTGGTTTTATTGATACATACGTACGTATTAGCGTTTTATATAATATAGATATTGAAGTCATTCTATTTTTTTTTACTTTATAAAAATTTTGACTGAATAACTGCTATAAAATGATCATGAATTGTTTTCCTTTTATTTCATTCTAATTTAAATACTGATTGCATAATGATTGCTGTTTATAATTAATTTTGACTTTTTTTTTAATATTTCTCTTATTAAAGAAGTTTTCGTTTTTTTTAAATTGTTGATCTTAATCTGTACCAGTGTATTTGCTAAATCAAAAAATTTATTTTAATATTTTTTTTATATACATAGAAAAGACAAAAGTAAAAGAAGAAACCGGTTCAGCCTTCCAACGCCGCAGAGTAGATGTACTTCTCATGGAACTAGCTAAAAAGTTTCCGCCTAAAATGACCTCTCCACCACAATTAGAAAAACAAACTACTGGTCTGTATATCTTTATTTAAACTGCACAAATTACATCTTGAGTGAAAATTGAAATTGCTGAATAATTATATGTTTATTTTAATACAGTTTTAGAAAAATCTTATTCACTTGTAATTTACTTTTGTTTGAATTAAGTATTTTATTAAATGTTTGTTATTCAAAAAAGTAGAAATGTGTTTAAAAAATTAGTTTATACAATATAAAAATTCATCTATTATTTGTGCTATATTTATTATAGATAATTATTATTGAATCTAATTACACTTAACCCTTTCGCAACGTTTTTTTCTTCTTTTTTTTACAGCAGAACAATTTCTTGTGGCATAAACTATGAGTAGGGCACACTAGAATGCTAAAACTAAGATGTTATATTTTTAGGAAGATTTTAAACACTGATTTAGGACCGGGTCATATATGTCCCATCAGTCCTGAAAACTGGGACATATGTGTCCCAGTAGTCTTCAATGAGTAATTTTGTGAAGAAAACCAATGATCACATAGGACTGTTGGGATCATGTGTTCCCTCTATTCAAGACGAGAGGGACACATATGTCCCAATAATAAAAACGGAAGTAAAACTTTGCAACTTATCTGTTTATTAGAGGTAATCAGCTTCGTGAGTAATTTCTCTGGCCTTAGATTTATAGATCAATCAAAATTTAATCGAAAATATGCGGTATTTTCCAAAACTAAACTATTTACGTTCGTACCGTATGGAATGAGTTGCTACAACACTTCAAAAACGCAAGAATTGCATTATGTACAGTAGTGCCATCTATGTTATGTAAATGAAAATACCTTGAAAAACATTGGCAAGACTGGTGAGAAAGTCTCCCATTAGACAGAAAAGTGTTTCTGTCCCAAAAGATTTTTTTGAAATTTGCTTGGGACGTATGTGTCCCATTAGGCGCGAAAGGGTTAAAGGATTGCAATATTTCATTAATAATTTCCTTATTAAGTGTTGTACAATCACAGAACTATATAAAGAGTTTCCAATCTATTGCTAGAGCATGCAAGAAGATGACATGCATAAAGCGCAGAAAATTGCGAAATGAATGCAGTTGAAATAAAACAAAAATATCTTTAGAACTGTAGATGTAATTATTAGCATTTGCTAGGAGATATAATTAGAAATTAACAAGAATATAAATAATTTAAACTAAAGTAGGAAACATAGAGTCTCAACTCTTCATATTCACAAGATGAACTAATTGTTAGCTTATAGTGATGCTACAGGGCTGTGCTGAGAGGTCAGTGGAAAAAAAAAACTTTGAAAAAGCATTAAAGTGGTTAAATACTCATAGTGTAAACTCAGCGAAAGCATCTTTTCTTTAATTTTATTTGACAATCTCAAGTTTGAGTGAATGCGATCTGCAAGCTACAGACTAACAAGTTTGTTGGTTGGTTAGTTCGATTTTTAGTACAACAGTTAAAAATTGCGGTATTGCTAAATACCTGCCAAGTTAGGTATTTTGCTATACCGTATTTCACAGCTGATAAAAAGAAAGACAAAATGTAAAAATTGAAATTAATCAGTTCTGGTTTATCCTATCCAATTATTTATATAAGGTTAATTAAATCTAAGTGCTTTTCAAAAAACAAAGTTTATTAAATACAGTTATGCATTTTGCAAAACATAAATACAGTGTATTTGTAAAGTGGTGATCCTAACAATAAAGTGTTTTTAACTCTCTACAAAAAGAAATTAATGAGTTATTTTTACAACAATTTATTAATTCATTGCATACTTATAAATTAACCTTTAGATCGGTGATTCTCAAAGTGGTATATATTGACCCCCAGGGATCGGCGACAACCTGCAAGGGGTCCGTGTCAAGTGAAAAAGAAATTGGGGGCCCATAAAATGAAAATTGGGGTCAACGATAGTGGATCCCATATGAACAGGTTGTGACTTTTAATTTTGACATTTCCTGAATGGAATAATCAACATACACAGATAGTACCTATTTACTTACATTATACTACCTTATAATATAAAGACATTCTACATAATTTATAAAAGTAGCTATGAAGTAAAAGTTTTATTAAAATTTTAAGTTATTAGGATTATTTTTTGATTTGACACTGAATTATTATAAACTAGCAGTTGCCTACAACTCTCCCTCTGCCCTGGTACATTTTTAATTTCTCTGTGCGTAAGGTTTTATTTTGTAACAAAAAAGTATTTTTCCACCGTAAATTGTAGCCTAACCTGTGTAAACTCTTTAGCTAGCTAGACTTCAAACTTTATCTGCTCACAAGATCACAGAGATTTGCTGCATAGTTTTTACGTGAAAACGTAATAAACAGACCGATAATACACTTTTACGGTTTTGTATACAAACTTATTTCCGCAATTACCATATTAGTAGCGGAGTACGGGTTTTAAAGTGGAATTATTTTATTCTATTCCATATTACAGGGATGATTGTGAGCTCAAGTCAAAATTCCGGAAAATTTCTTGAGTAAAAAAAAAATTTTAAATAGAAAAGAGTTTAAACAAGGTTTTTTCCTTTTGCTCAATATTTCTTAGTTTACTTAAAATATATTTAAATTTTTTCACATACCTATACCATTTACAAGTACCTATGTCAACCTGGAGAAGTAATTGAAATTTACAAATATGTCTTTCTTTCTTGAGTTTATGATTATAATAACTAATTACTGATAAAAAATTAATATTAATCTTGAATATAAGCTTATAAAGTATCTGGCACTCCCTTACAAATAAAATAAACTGTGTTTTAAAGTTCCACCTATGAAAATTTGATTTCCAGAAACTTTTGTAATCAATGATTTTTTTAAACGTCTGAACCTTCGATCTCCGGAAACTTCCAGATCACAGTTAGCAAAAAATCCGGAGCACAATCAGCCCTGATATTAATTAAATTAGTTTGAATTTAATTAATAAACGTATAAAATTAACATGTGTTTTTTTCACACTACAGTTAGAAAATTTAAATCTTTCACAGTGAGTAGCACTATACCAGCAGTCAAAAATACATTTGAAGTTGATGAATTTACAAAAAATCAATATCAGGAAAGCAGGGGGTCTATCCAAAACAGAAAAACATGGCAAACTGCAAAACAAAAAAGTTCAGGAACCACTGCTCTAGATGAACAACACAAGCTTACAGAAGAATGCAAGTTACTCGAATAAATTTTTTCATACATTCAGGTAAAAAATATACATATTCTTGAAAAAACTATGTAATTTCATTTAATTTCTAAAAGAAATAAAAACGATTAAGCTATTTTTATTGATTTCTGCAATACTTCTGAAAAAATGAAATTTTAATGAAAAACACATACCTAAACATTTTTTAAATTTATTTATCAAGGATAGCCGACGGGAAAAAATGAATATTGAACTGAGGGTTTAAGTTATTCATGTCATATTCATTTTAATTTTTATTGTAAAATCAAAAGTTGTTTTAAGATTTACTTTAAACATACTTAATTTTTAGAAGAAACAGCTGCAGCCGCTGCCAAGACAGACGTAAAAGTTGAAATCAAGACTGAAAAAGTTGATACACCTCCACCAGCTTCAACTACTGCAACTAGCGCTACAAACACTACAACTACTGTTACAAATACTGCAACTACTGTGGTTGTTAAAACAGAACCATCCTCAACAACGGTAACTCCTGCAACTGTTCCACCTCTCCCTCCACCACCTCCCCCTGCACCAGTTGCCACAATAGCACCTCCACCTTCTGCTGTACAGAGAACAGCTATGAAACCACCTCCTGATAAAAAACCACGATTAGCTTAAGTAACAATTATTTTAGAATTATTTATTTATTTGATTTGTAAACACCTCTTTAAGCTTTCTGATTAAGGGATTTAGTAAAATAACACGTTAAGTTACATGAATAGCAAATGTTTAAAAGATTTCGTAATAACAGAATTATTAAATCAATGTAATATATTTACCCATCTTTTTGTATTTGACAACAATCGGATCAAACTAATTTTTAATGTGATATTACGATATAAAAATTTGAAATTATGCATTTCAGTAATCATTTTCCAACATGCTGGATACCACCATAAACCCCTTTTTCAATCTTTTTTTTTTCTTTTGCAGTTATTTTAATTGATTTTCTCATGGTTTTTAAAATTTTTGATATTATTATGACACACAAAATTCGAACTGCGCATTTAACTAATTATTTTTTGGATGCACTGAATTTGCGTTGATACCGTTCTTTAATCAATGCAATGTTTCAATTGTTTTATCTGCTATTATTGCTATGAAATTCTCATTGTTCCTTTTTTTTTAAATCCCTATTGTTCATACATTATTATTACAACACAAAAAATTCAATTTGTGCATTTATTGGTAATTTTCTGACATGACAATACACCTGTTTTTTTTTCTCCCATAAACTTTTTCATTCGTTGCTGATATCCATGTGGTTTTTTCAAAATTTTCATAAGGTATTATTATGTGATCACTTATCACATAATAAAAAAACTCATGATAATGAGTTACAAAAAGTAAAACTCATGATAATGAGTTTTACTTTTTTTTTGACAAGTTTTACTCTCATAATTTTATTATATATCTTTCAGATTTGATATGCATGTCATGACAAATCCCTTTTATTAATTTCTATATTAAAAAGCCAATATTTCTACAATGGCAACAGAAAATGCACTTTTTTACTGTAGAGATTTTGTAATTGTGTTTATGANAAAATCACGTAATTCACTACAACATATATATACAATAAGCATGAAGTCAGATATATCTTTCAGATTTGATATGCATGTCATGACAAATCCCTTTTATTAATTTCTATATTAAAAAGCCAATATTTCTACAATGGCAACAGAAAATGCACTTTTTTACTGTAGAGATTTTGTAATTGTGTTTATGAGAAGTGTAACTGTAAATAATATTACTTATAGAGTTTTTATAACAAGCTTCTTAAATATAAAATTGTATTTGAGAGAAAATAAAAGCATTTTCATAAAGATTCAACAGAAAATAGTTTTATGTATCTAAAATGTGCACCTCTCATAATATTGTAAAAAAAAAAACTAGCTCTTATAATTAAGACACTCTCATGACGCTATGCATACCAACTGTAATGAAATGGATACAACTACTTTGGAAAATCATTTTATTCATACTATCATAACATTTCAATTTAGCAGTTTAAATAATAAGATATTGCAATCAAGTTTTCATGTACATTGTTTATGTGTGCTGCATTAAAAAACAGCTTTTCATTTCTTAGAAACACCATAGCTGGAGGTCACTTAATAATTGATTTAAATTTCTCTACTGACTATCATCATCAGTGCATCTACATAGAACAAATAACTGCAGGATCAATAGAGTTGCAACTAGAATAGAGGAGGTGAGATAGCGAAAAGTTAAGTAATTCTATATGCTAAAAAAAATTAACCCTTTACATATCTGCCATTCTCACCTAATCTCTTTCTATGCATTACCTTACAATATAAAAGAGAAGCTTTCAGTTTTCACAATTTTTTAAATACTTAGAAGATTATGTTGTAACTTTAGAGGTTAATGCAATTTTTTTATACTTAGCAATAAAGTTTAAAACTTTCAGGGACCGACAGTAAATTACGAAAGAAAACAAGTGTTTTTGAACACTCTATGCCAGAAAATCAAGCTGTAAGCTTGTATAGATTACTTTAGTTGTTATTTGCAATGACTGCATAAAATTTTGTTAATGCAGTTAAAATATTTATGCAGTTACGAGCATTTTTATAAAAAGCTAATTTTTTTGCTATAACTTCAAAAATATTTATTAAAATGAAACAAAATTTTGGGAGCAATTAATTACAAAATTATTGTTTTAAAATTTGTTAAAAACTATGCAAGATATTTAAAGTATTTCTGTACAGCGCATGCACGGAAAATTTTTTTAAAAATTTAAGAGTTTGAAGCAATTTTCTACGTAGTTTTTGTACTTCTATAAAAAAAGTTTTTTCTCAAATTTCATTTTATACCATATTAACAAATGATCATCCTGGACTGACTTTTACCTGTGACGGTATGAGAAAAGAAAATGTTCTTTTATGGGGGAATGATCCCCCACAATGCTCTTAATAAATTAGTTAAATTCTACAAAATGAAATTTGTGAAAAGCCTCTAATTATGAGCTTTCTTTTAAAACGTTCAAAAACTCTTTAAATTTATAAGATATTCAAATCCAGTTTTTTTCCCATTAGTTTCCAAATACGACACACTACACCAGGGGTGGCGAACCTTCATACACCGTGTCATAGACGTGCCATCAATAATATAATAATACTAAGCGCTATCAACTCAAAATTCTTTATTTACATTGAAAAAAAAACATTTTGCAATGTCTCAGTTATACGCGTAATTCAACTTAAAGTAACATCAGTGTGACTTCTGTTGCTGCAGATGTCGTAAGATGTTAGTTTATGCAGGACTGCTAGTTTTTTTAGCTAGTTATTTATTGTAAGCTTGTTTTTTATGGTTATTAATTGTTTATTTCTTTATTAATAATTGTCTATTATTTTGTTTGTTGTTTGAGAATTTTAATTTAATTGTTACATATGCTTCATAGTGTAATAACAATTCATAGTGCAATAACAATTGTGATCTGTGGCGTGCCCAAAATATTGTGTCGCGTGCCATTGGTTCGCCATCCCTGCACTACACAATTGTAAAAAAGATTTCTTAACTTTTTTCTTTGCATGTGCAGTATAAAAGAACTACTTTAAATAGTCATATCTAGCACAATTCTTGATTAATTTTTTGTTATTTCCAAATTGTACGGAATATTTCAAGTTATAGCAAGAAACGTAAGACAAAAAAAATTTGTTTGTCAATATCTCTATAAATATTTAAGCTAAGGTTTATAAAATTTTATGCAGTTATTGCTTGATTTTTTATCATAGGGTGTTCAAAAATACTTGTTTTCTTTCGTAATTTATTGTCGAACCTCTGAAAGTTTTAAACTTTATTGCTAAGTATGAAAAATGGCGGCAATTCTAAAGTTACAAAATCTTCTTAGTATTTTAAAAACTGAAAGTGTATGTTTTCATCTGGTTTTGTCCCTTATTGCAACAGCATTGATCTTGCAGCATCTCTATTTTGTGTCACTGATCTAAACTACACTCGTTCTTTAAATAATTTTGGCCAACAAGATATTTATTACTATTTATTTATCTTTTTATTTTCTTTATAAATGAATCAGCATTTTTTTTGCCTTTAGTTAATCTCAAATTTTCTGCATAACATGAATTTAAATGAGATCTATGAGTTTTCAAACAGCTACAAAAAATCTTTATAAACTTATACACACTTTTTTCAGTTCTGATAAATTTAGTTATACACGCATTGCACATTACATAATACAAAAAAAAAATCAATGACTGTATTTTTTATGATACAATATTCAATTAAACATTTTAAATGGTGCATTGCGAAATGTTAACCTCACTTAATTATTTTTATTAATGACCTCAATTGAGACGGTCAATTAAAAACCAATGATGGCGGACTGATTGAATACATGCAAATTTTATGTTACATACAAATGTGTTGGCCGTCTATAAAAATCCAAATTTGAATATCAGGTGTTGTGAAATGATGAACTCACTTAGAAAATCTTATATATGACAATCTGCTAGGAATCACTTGTATGCTAACTTTTATGCTGAAAATATGTTTTGAGTAACTTCAAATTACTTTCTGGGAATTCTGAGTAGTAATAAAAATGTCACCTTTGAAAAAAAAAAGTGATTTCACTGTATTGTTCCAAGTCCTTTCATATCGAAGATTTTTGGAATAAGGCTCATTTAGACACTTTACCGGCAATAAATTATACTTAAAAAGTGCAAAATTTGAGAACCAGTTTTAGCATTTCATACAGAAAATATTAATGTAGAAGCTTTCTATACTTAACCATGATATAATATAGTAAATGAGTTTAGCATGGCCAAATTAGAACAACATTTTTATAGAAACCATAACAAAGTATCCAGAATCAATTATTTAGAGAGACTTTCCACTACGTCCAAGCTATCTTATAAATCACAAACATTGTTTCATAACAGAATATTTACAATAGACATTTTTTACCCCAAAGAATACAAATGACATTACTTTTGAGACTACATAATATACAAAGAAATTATGAATATAACAGCAATAAAAATCACGGAATTCACTACAACATATATATACAATAAGCATGAAGTCAGAAACTGACTATTTAAATATTTTTCATTTTTATTTTACACTTTCAATTAACTACTGAAATAGGAACGATTTCATTATAATGTGCAAATGGTGAAATAAATACTAGATCAAAGTGGTTTTGATAGAATACAAATGTTTTTTGTTTTTAAAAAAAAAACATTCACTCAAAATAATATTGCTTCATCAAATGATACAATGCATGAACTATATGTTTAATTGCAACATAATGATTTATGGCAGTGCTCCAATATTCACAAACAGAACAATTATAAAAATGTGCAAGACTTAAGAGTGTGTTGTATAAATACTCTTAACATTTTTCCATTCCTACTCTGCCGAAATGGCTCTCAAGAGCTGCCATAAGCCCCACAAAAAATGCAGTGTTCAATTACACCATATTCCTTTTTTATTCAAAATTCAAGTCTGAATATATAAAGATTCTATAAGTGCCAAATTTTATATATATTTATATCGTGGAAATATATAATATGCTTAGCATTCAATTGCATTATTTATAATTGGAAATAAAAAAAGGATAGAATTTTATAAACCGTTAAACAATTCGAAGGTTAAAAAAATCAATTAGCACAAATTACTACTAAGAAACTAAACTTTACATTCGTTACATAATTAACAGAACATGCAACCTTTGAATAGGAAAAAAAAATCCAAAGCTTTAAGTACTAAAACATAATTCCTTAGGGAATAAAATAGGGAAAGTAATGGCAAATTAATTCAACCTTATTTCATTGCCTAATTATTGGCACATTCTGCTCCATAGCAGGAAATAAAAAATTTCTGCGAAGTATTTGCAAATCTGTAAGTGTAATGCTCAGAGAAACATTAATCTCGACCAGCGGGAGCTGCCATTAACTGATGAATCTTTACCCTTATCTCATAAACAATTTTCATTATGGAATGAGAAAAAAATAGGCCTAATAGCCTAACAATATTTAGCTTGGAATATGCAAGAAAGGACCCAATTAATAGGAAAAAAAAGAGCTTGAATTCTTTTTTAATGATTAAAAATAATTTTTCACAAAAAGAAGCCTTAACAGCCACTTTTTCTTGGGTCTCCAATATCTTTTTAATCCTTTATAACAAAAAGTATAAATGTGGATTTTCAAAACTGAAAAATAAAGAATCACAGTTCTTGAATTTAGGAAGACTATCTCTTTTTAAATATCTACCAATTACAATTTTGATTTAAAATTCAACTATAATTGAATATTAAAGTTGATATGAGAATAACATTGAAATTTTAAAAAAAAATACTAAAAAATTTGAATGTCTGGAAATGGTTACAAAATCAAAACTTGAAAAATTATAGGAAAGAACCAAAATATTCAGAAAATAAAAGTGAACGTTAATTTAACACTTTTAAATAATATTTAAAAAAATAAAATTATGCAATCATACAAATACTCCTTTTTGAATTTTGTGCATAGCAATAAAATTACGTAATTTCAACTAACATAGTCACATTATATTGTGACTCTGTCACAGTGTAATGAATATACAAGTTGTAATTGAACATAGTTTTAAAAATAAAATTGTTTTAGCTGCCCTTTTAGACATATTTTGGCTACTAAATACATTGTGATGTTCACATAGAAGTAAAATATCATTATAAAAATAAAGTTATTGCATTATAATTTTTTGTCATACCTTCCAAATATATTTAAAAAAATATTTTGCAGTCAGTCACTCTAAAATTTCCCCCACTCATTGCATTTGTGTTTAAAAAAGCGATGACTCAATTTAATTTTTTTTAAAGCAAAATTTTGTAAATTTCAATTATTATACTGAAGATTAAGCTAAAGAAAACTCAAATTCGAGCTCAAATTTAAAAACTCAAATTTAAATTCTGTGCATTTTAAAAATAACCAAACAAGTTACTTACACAAAAGTTACCTCCCATAATTCTTAAATTGGTAATATATATATAAAAAAAATTATAAAGACCTTTTAAGTAATAATATAAAAATTACTGTAAGAAGCTAAAATAATATAAATACTTTATCATTTGTTTGCTGTTCAACAGCATGTAAAGATCCCCCATGACACCAGCTCTATTTTGGTTTTGGCTGCTGCATGGGAGGATCTATATTTTTTATATGCTCAGATTGCTCGCTACTGATATTATAGGATAATTAAATTTAAGAGAACTTTTTATTTTCAAGATACTAATGCAAAACTATATTTATTAATTTATCGATAGCCTAGTTATGAAGCCAGCAGTGCATACAGCAAAAAGCTTTTTATTAAGCTATCAGTCAGTAAGTGTAAAACAAGAAAAAAGCTTCAATATAATTATTGAAATGAACGTATTAAAAAAATATTAACATTTACTTCTTATAAATATACACAAATGAAAAGTTTAAAAGAAAAATATACTAAATGTAATAAATTCTTTAAATTAGTCAATTATGAAATGCAACTTAAAGAGTTTTAAGGTTTATACATATTAAAAAAATTGGCTTTGTTATGCTAATTAAAAATTACTTTTAAAAATAATCTCATCAAAATATAATGTATATACTTTTAAATGACTACATTTTCAACAGCATTCATTGAAAATTATTCTAATGTAAAATATTCTCTTGACCTGCAAGAGGACAAATCATAGAAAAAGTGTACCTTAACACAATTTAGTACCTCAACAAAAATAATTTGAGGCATTTCTATCCAAGAAACAAAACAATAATGCACACCAGTATTAATGCATAGTTATCAAAATAAAAAAATCAGTTATTCATTTAAGGAAAAATCATACAGGATTTATATATTTTATAAGTATTATAGGGTTACAAGAAAACGCTTGAACAAGGTTAAGACCAAACGCCTCTATCACAAACTCATTATGCAATATGTTACTGTTCCTTGGTCATATAAATTCTTTGAAAACCAAAAATTGACTTTTTAATAGGATTCTTTTCCAACACGCAGAGATAGAAGAATTAAAGAATAGTGCAAACCACATGCTTTCTAGCACAAGAATGGCCACCTTATCACCAGATTTGGATGCAATGAATTTTTCCCTCAGAGATAAAGGGTTTGTGCTAATCTTAAGTCTTAGCTATCACTAAAAAAAAAAAAAATTGTGCAAGAAATCGGACAACCCAAGAAAATATTGATTGCAACTCTGCATAGATAGATACAAAAGAAGACCTATCCGAAAATTTGCAAACTTGTCACATTTTGAAACTGTTGTCCTCTATGCTTGCAAGTTTGGTTTTGATACAGTGAGTATTAAATTGTTATTTCTTGTAACCCAGTGAAAAAAATTTACATCAATCAATAATTCAATTAAAGAAAAATTATATTTTATGATTTAATGTATTTAAAAAACTTTCTTCTCACTACCGTTGCACTAAAGAGGATATTTACTGAAATTATGGATAAAATTCGAATTAAGACATTTTTGTTTATTACATCTAACACTATCATGAACACATATTATTGGTACAAGTCAAGTTATAGCAGTGTAAAATTTATACTATAACTTATACAGCAAATCAAACATTTTATCATAAAAGTCTTTTGCCAGGAATACATGTATAAATAAAAATATAAGTTTTTTTTTGTATGATTAATCAAAACTACCTTTTAATTAATGAAAAATTTTATTAGCTATACAATCAGACTCTTGTTGAAAGCCCTGATTTAACCAGTTAAGCACTGAGTTTAATTTTTGTAATCGGCTAAAGCAGAATGAAACAATGGCCATGTGACAAATTTTATGAAAAACAAAGGATTTCATTTAATAAAAAATTAATAATTTATTTCTACGAGGCGAAAATTACATATAGAGATAGGGATAGAAAGCTTTACAATCAAATGCTAGACTTATTCATTTGCAATTCAAGAATCCTCGCAGTGTAGCTTTAGTGCCTCAGAGAACAAAGGGCCATATTGACCCAGCTAATTGTTTACACAATTTCTCCAAAGATCAAAGCTCCCGGTTAAGTAACGGCTTATATATGCAATTGGCTCTATGCTGCTTGCCCCCCCAACAATAAAATAATATTTTTACTTTTCTTTATTAAAATTTGGAATTTTGATATATAGTGGTAATTTTTTATTATACATGAGTATACATGTCATACACACTACAATAGAGATTTGGATCGGCGTCACATCAAACATGCTTAACTGATTAATACAGGCATAACAAAAGACATTTTTAATAAATGCTTGATTTTATGTTAAAAAGCCTATGTCAGGTATGTAAAAGTATTTTTTAATAAGAGGCATAAAAAAGATAATATTAGAGGCCAGCATACACATAATGTTGTTTAGAAAAAAATAATTAATTGGAGTAAAATTTTGTTTGAAAGTAATATGAATTACTTTCACACACAATTCTAATTTATTTTTTAACTCAAGTGCAGATAAAATAAAATTTTTTAGAAAAAATATATAATGCTTATAAATCTACAAACAAAATAAAGCAAATTATTATAATAAATTTATAAACATACAAAAAAAATAGAAAATTAAAATGTTTATTTACTTCTAAAGCTTAATTATTCAGAAAATAAAATTTGCTACCAAATACAGTATCTGGTTAATATGGCACTTGTCAATACAATTTTGAAATTATGTTTATTGTTATTTGTACAAATTTATTATAAATAATTTTGCCAATATAAAAAAAAATAACACGAGTTTTATAAAAATATATTAATCGGAAAAAAGAATAATAATATCAAAACAAAGATCTTGATTTAAAGACCAATAAATATCTTATTTAAAAAAACCAAACAGCATTAAAAAATGACAACATAAAATTATTGATCAAATTATAGATACTTAGAAATTTAGAACTTAAAAATATTATTAGTGAAAAAAATTTCTGATTTGAAAATTGCATAGATTATGTCTAATTCAGCATTTCAATAAGTTACCCGTAGTTTATCTAAAATTTAAAGAACTATTTAACAGTTGATTTAGATATTTTAATTAGAACAATCTTTACAGGATAAGTATATTTTAAAGTAATACAAATTTTAAATCAATTCATTTAAATTTAGTTCATTCACTATTAAATTTATACAGTAAAAAATTCAATTATTGAACATTAAAAAAAAGTATTCAAACCTTTGCCAACAATATGTATTATTTCAACAACAACTTGATTGTTCATTATCTTGATTGTAAGATGGACAAGTTGCTCTTTAAATATATTGGCGCTATTAATGAGCATTTTAAAAAAATGCATTATGGCAGATTGTGCCAGCATTAATAAATCAACTTTTATGAGTATAAACGAAGTGTTTATAGCTTATTATGAAACCATATTATTTTAATCATCATTTTTCTTTTGGTACAAATAATTCTACTTTCTAAAATGGAATATAAATATTTTTTTAATATATATCGACATTGATACAGAGATTATTTACAACTGTGACTTATCTCACAATTTATGAAAAACTGTTAAAGTCTTAATCTAGCCAAACCAAAGTATCACTATATATTGTCAATAGAAGTGAAGAAACAATATTTTGCATCTCAATATTCAGCTGACTCAATTGAAAACCTTTGTGGAGGAACAATGCATTTTGTACTATATACCCTCTTAATTCAATGTTAACTAACATTTAAAAAAATACTCATATTTATGTATAAAGAATGTGTAAGTAAAGAACATTAATTTATTCTCTCAAATTTATATAAAGCTATTTTTCCGGCAAAATAAATAGTGCACAACTTCCTTAAGAACTTCCTTATACATAAAAAACTTGAGTTTCTTTAAATCACTAAAATTGCATATGTTCTTCTACTACGACATTCAATTTTGTTATTGTTCCGATGTAACCAATTAATTTTCTGAGCAAAATAAATTTGTGCAGTGATTCCTATACATTTAAAATTTAATTTTCTTAAATTCACAAAAATTATGCTTGCTCTTTCACTGAAGTCTTCAATTTTGTTGCTGATTTATCCAATAGAACTAATTAGATTTTCAATACATTCTTCTGTATATTTATACTCAAATTCAGGAAAATGAAATTTTTTTCCTCCATTAACCATATTTCTGTCCTAACCAATAAGAATTTTAAAATTTATTTTTAAATAAATTGTTATTTCTCATGCAAATTAGATCACTCAATACGGGTCCATGCATTATTTATTTGAGAACTAACTCATTCTCATTTGTTCAAAAAACGTTTGGCTAAATAAGACATTTGCAACTAGTACACTACTTGGACTGTCTTTGATTCAACTCTTTACAAAAAAAACTAATAGATAAAATGACACCAGCAACAAACAAATATGTGTAAAAAAGGACACATTGCTTCACAGTATTTTTTTTACAGTGTAAAAAGTTCAAAAACTTTGGTATGCAGGTAAAAAAAAAAATTGTAACACTAGTACATTTTCAAAACACGCTTAATACACAGTGGCAAGAGCTGATGATGTATCCAGTGTGAAAAATATATATGCTTCTAAATGTTGAGACGGCATGCTTTTTGTTTTATTACAAAAAAGGTCTAGGTGAAATGCCTTCATAACATTAAAAAACAGACATCTGAAAGATCCAAAAATATAAAACTGGACACCATAATTTTTGAAGTTTCTTTTATCTCCTATTTAACTCCATTCGTATAGCTGAAAGATAAGAATTATTTTGTGTTAAATATTCACAAGTAAAAGAGTTAGTTTAAATTAAATTTAAGCTTATTAATTTCAAACTAGTTATGTTATTGGTTAATCAGGAAAAAAGCATTAAATTACAGTTTTGTTTTAATGAGCAAGATGTTGGTAATATGCCCAGCGTTCACACAATTACAAATGGGAGAATCATGATATCTGAATTGTTATTTATAATTCACAAATAGTGTTTGAAGCACAAATAGCAATGTGCACTTATTAATTCGCATAATATTAAATTAGATGAGGGATTTGTAATTTGATTATATGAACAAGAAGCCTAGTACTAAACATGATGTGTGATTTGAAATAAATCACAATAAGTCTTTCTACTTTTGTGATACTATTTTCTATTTTTGTGATAAACTTATTCTTTCAAAACCATTCGAATCTGAAAATCAAGGAAAGGTAAATATTAAATATAAAAGCTGTAGAATTTTACAGACTAAACAATAAATCTACAGCATATTTATGTTATTGGTTAATCAGGAAAAAAAGCAACAAATTACAGTTTTGTTTGAATGAGCAGGATGTTGGAATTTTGCCCAGCGTTCACACAATTACGAATAGGAGAATCATGATATCTGAACTGTTATTTGTAATTCACAAATAGTGTTTAAAGCATGAATAGCAATGTGCAGTTTTTAATTGGCATAATATTAAATAAGATGAGGGATGTATAATTTGATTATATGAACGAGAATCCTAAGAAGCCGAATACTAAACAAGATGTGATTTGAAATAAATTAAATCACAAAAAGTCTTTCCACTTTTGTGATATTATTTTCTATTTTTTTGATAAAGTTATTCTTCCAAAACCATTCGAATCTGAAAATTTAGTTAAAGTTAATATTAAATATAAAAGCTGTAGAATTTTACAGACTAATAAACCTGCAGCATATTTATGATATAACTGCTTTAAACTTTATTCTTTTTGTTGCAATTCATGAATCATATATCAGGCATTGCATTCACCCAATTTACAAACCATACATTACACTGCCTTTTAATATGATTTGCACAATACATCGCGGATTATATATATGGTCTTGACTAAAGTTGATGTCATTAGAATATATTATAAATCACGCATTGTGAAACATATTCACACCATTTATGAAAAAGAGGTTGTCTGATTCACATATTATCATTTGTAAATCAGACATTGTGATTCATTAGGCTTCATAGTGGGCTAAAGAAAGAATCAGAACATTTTCCAGAAGAATCTGGACACTTTTTAGAGCAGTAGGCACATACCAGGCTACTTTTAAATACTAAAACAAAGAAAAATGTGCTATATTTCAGTATAATAAAAGCACATTTTATCCCATAAGAATAATAAAATGTACTACCTTTAATTTGAGAATTACTTTGTTTAAAAACTAAATTTTCAGCATTTTTTTTTTAAAAATTTAATAAAGCACCAAACAATTTTTAGTTTAAGATCAATAGGTGTAGAAAATATTTGTAGTACTGTCATTTTAAAAAAATAATTGACATCAACCAAGTAATATTTCTTTGCACCAAAATTTACTTAAATTTTTAATAGAGTTCAAGACTTCCTTAATCAAATAGTTTTAATGTCAGGTTTCAATTTTTTCAGAAATAAAAACACAGTAAATATACCACAGCATTTTCATACAAGAGTAGTAATTTAGTGTATGATCCCACAACTTACCATCAAACAATTATAAGATATGATCACTACATTGTTGACAGGAATCATTTTGAAAAGCAAATGAATGAAATGAATCAATAATTGTGAAACGATAATATTTACAAAAAATCCTATAAAATTATTACTGCAATTTTGATAACAAATAAGCATATAACCCCTGAAATTCATTACTATCAAAAATTGATAAACTAAAATAGTTGAGTTTAGTTTTTCATAAAATGACTGAGTTCGGTAAACATATGAAACAACAAATACTGAAGGGAAGGCTATTTATCTGATTATCATATAATTAACGTATGGTCTCCAAATTTAAAATGTCAACTTTTTCAGCATCAACAATTTTTACTTTTGTATTCAACAATTATTGCTATTATAAATTGTAATTTACTTTTGTAATATCAACAATTTTTACTAGCATTCATTATTAAATAGAATAAAAAGATGTTGGATTCTGCAGGAAAGGCTATTTATCCGAACTAAGCATATAATTAGTGTATGGTCTCCAAGTTTGAAATATTTGCAATTTTTACTAGCATTAATTATTAATTGGAATAAAAAGATGCTGGATCGAAAATCCAAATCTTACAAATCAGAACAAAAACCTGGATAATCGTTGAAAATAACATGTTCTTTACCCACACACAAATTAAAAATACTTGTACAAAAAGCTAAAAATCAGAACAAATATTTTTCTTCGGCAAATATTTTTCTTCGGGAACATAACTACAAACTTATTCGTGTGATTTTAGAATCAAACATCATGATTTAGATTATGTTTATTTTTGCTAATCAATATAGATATTTGGTTGAGATTTTGGTTTTCTTTAGCTGTGCTGATACTTTTAGTTCTCTTATGAGGTAAAAACTTGTTTTATTTCATCTAGTAATATTTTTTTCAAATATTCTTCCAGCTGTCACATTAGCAGCTTGGCGATGTTGCAACTAATCACCATTACTATACGAAGTTGTAAGATATAGTTTCATTATAGTTGCTAACTATTTTAGAGTTACAAAATGCTTTAGCTAAAACTGCTGAAATATTTTTCTCGGTGTGTGATTCAGAAATTGTGTGAAATCGAAAGCCAAATTGTGATTTCTGACCACATTCACAGAAAAATTACATATTACTTAATCAGTAGAACTAAATTCATAGAATTCAACCAATCAGCAGAAAAATCAAGTATGCAGATATTAAAACAATATCAGAACAAAAATTTAAATTATTTTATAGAAATTTATTTTCTTGCATAACCAACTTAATTTCCCTTATGGTTGAAGAAAAAATAATAAATAAATATTCTCAGAAAAATAGAACTTACCATCTATAATGTCTTGCTTCATTTTATTAACAGCTGTCCTCATTTCTGTTAAAATTTCTTGTTTCATTTTTTCCATTTCAAACATGTCAACTACAATTTGGCCCTTATTTTCACTTTCAACTTCAGATCTATGGAGGATAAATGTGTTATACAGGAGAAATATACAAACTTATATAAAGAATGAAAAGCTCACAAAATCACAACTGCCAAATGAAATTAGAAATGAATATCAGAAAAATGCTCCATAGAGTAAGGTTACTGCACAAATTAAAATCTTTCAGAGCACAAAGTGACCAAAAATTTGACACACTTAAAAAAAATTAATAACTGTTTTCAATATTAAATAAATTGTTCTTCAAATTATCAATGTTTAAATCCTGAATATAATAGTCTAATTTGTTTCCAGTTTATGGCTTAGTTTATTCAAATTATAGTTTGGATGAAGTCTCTTTCAGTTTTGTACAACAATGTTTAATGATGAGTTTGTAAAATGATAAATAGAGATTTAAATTGTGGTACTTGTTTCCAAGCTTATATTAATTACAACCAAAAAAAGAAATTTTAATACATAGTTAATATTGCAAATTAATGTTTAAGATATAGAAAAACAAAAATATCAAAATTTGATGAATTACCACCATTAAGGTGGCTAAAAACATCAGTATCTGTTTGATTAAGAAAAGAATCAGAAAGAGAGAAACAGTTATTAAAAACACATCCAAATTTTAATAGTTAATTGAACAGGATCTGATGTTAGCATTTTTATTTTTTACTTGCTTAAATATTAATTTGTTACCTCCAATGAGTAAACACTTGAGAAGAGTTTCTAAAACGATACATTAAAATTGGTGATTATAGAACACCCAGTATAATAATTTACAAACCTGAATAGTGATTGAGGAGAATCTTCTCCGGAATTTCTATTTGGACTAAAAGCATTGGATGAATTTTTCCAACTTCTATTGCTATCACCACTGCTTATGCTATCAACATCCTGAATAAATAAAAATTATTATTAATTAAATAAAATTAAACATTAATAAATTATACACATTTTTTTAGCAGATGAAAAGTTAGATATTAAAATGGGTGCTGATGGAAAGGAAAAATTAAAGCTTTAGACTAAATCACAAAGAGAATTTTTGCGAAAAAACTAAATTTGAAGCAAAGATTTAAAATAAACTGATTTTTATAATAAGAAAAATTATTCTGTTTCTCCAGCATTTGCTTTTATAAAAAAAAAGAATATACTTTTGCGAATTTTCTGATCTTTGGAAAGACTTTAGAAGTTAGCAGAAAGATTAATGTCAATCTTTTCTCACTGATATATCCTAGCCAAACTCACAAACATAATTCTATACATGAACACATTGTGCTTAGGATTTTAGAAATTCCTCTCTCATTGAAATCTTATTTATATGTTAATAAAAAATTAATTATCTGCTATAATGGTTTATTACAGTTTAATGGAAGAAAAGCATAATGCAGTTATAAAGGATAACTTACAACTTATCTAAGGTAAACAACTTAAGTACATACTCAAATCAATGAAATTAAAGGGCACTATAAATTATGGTTTAAAAAAAAAACATAAATAATGAGAAAACCAAATTTAAAAAAAAAATAGGAAAGGCATTTTAGAATTTGATACTTAAATGAAAGAAAAGCACAAGAAAAAATCTAAATAAATGAAAAAGTTCTTATATTTTTTTTTTTATAAAACGAAAATAGATAAAACAAAAATAGTAACTTACTAAACTATTCTCAGTTTGGGCTCGTCTGAAAAAAGAGAGAAAATTTTAATAAATCAATGAAAACTAAATAGTAAAATTAAGAAATGATAGGAATTAGAGCACACTTTGAAATAGTTAAAATAACAGCTATTCTTTAAGAATGTTAAAAATTCTATTAGTTTATCTATCATTAGATAGCAAAGATTCAAAATGTTTTCTTTTTGTTATATCAGACGATTTACAATTAAAAAGCCCTCCCAACTAAACTCAACTAACAAAAGAATGCAGATAAGGAAAGAATGTATTAATATACTTTTAATCACATTCATTTAATTTTCACAAAAAATCTCAAATTAGATATTTACTCTACTTCGCAGTAATCTTTCAAAACAGGTACAACACAATGACATCTCCAAATTAGAAAAATTGCAGCCATCCTATAATTTTAGCCAATTTTTTTTGACAAAATTATACAGGTACAATTCTGCAATCAGCATATTTATAAAATGCAGTAAATATAACACAATTGTCCGATATAAGATTCTTTAAAAATATCTTGGCATTTGTATAATTTACGTCAAGAGAATTTTACAGAGTGAACTAAATCAGTTTCCTCCTTTTAAACAGTAACAAAAATTCATTTTAAAAAAGAAAAACGTTTATGTATAGGTTTTAAGTAACCACTCCAAAATTACTAACTACATAATCTTATTAATTTATAATTCAGAAAAAAACTCTTAAGATATCAAACGCTGTTTTTCTTTTTATAATAAAGTGAATTTCCTCAGCAGAGCATAACTTTTTTTCAACAAAAAAGAACAATAAACTTCAAACACAAGTAGAAGAAAAATCAAAGTCATAACTACAGAAGTTCCCTTGCTCGAAAATATTTTGAAGTCAAATCTATCAAGTGATTTGCAGCAATGGAGGTGCTTCCAATTCATAGTTTTTTTAGAGTCACAGAGACAACAGTCTGGATAGCCATAAATATGTAAACGATACAAGTGTCCTCCCGGGATGTCATGGCTTGTTGGGCTTATTTGGTATTGTCTCTACCTCCGCCTCACTCCAATTCTTATTCTTCATACTTTCTTGTGAAAATTACAATTATACATTTTTATTTATTTCCGATTGCTTTTAAAATCATGTTTTCATGACAACTGGCAACTAATGTTAGAATATTTATGACATATTGAAATAATAATTTATATATGAAAATAACTAAACGCATTTGTAAAGATATAGTTGTACATTTTTTATGGATTATAAAAATGAAATTAATATCAAGAAACTATTAGAATTTTTTTTTTTTTTTTTTAATATTGAATTTGATGAGCATGAAGATTTTAGAATACCTCCTAGCTAGAGTTCTTGTCATTTCATCCATCAAGCATGGCAATGCTGCTTTCAATGCTGCTGGTTTTTCATTTGCTACAACCTCTGAAGCCTATGTTAAGAAATAACAATTTATAGCAAATCTTCAGCATACCTGATAGCAAATATTAATAATGCTAAAGCTTTCTTTGCAATATTTTTAGCATGTTTTTCAAAAATGATAGATATTATACTATATATAAGATATATAGTAATATTAGGGATAGATATTGCAGTAATATAATACAATATAATCAGTTCATAGCAGCAGTTTTGTGCTCTTAAAGAGCGGGTTTATACTTTTTAGGCTGTTTGAAAAATTAAAACAAAAGCATATCATAAAACATCAGCCCAAGAGCAGGCACCATTTATTTTTTAAAAGTATTTAATTTTAAAAGTTAATTTAAACTTTTATACAGTATTTAACAGGAAATCTAAATATTTTTATTGTGATCATACAGCAGCGAGCACAAATAAGAAAAAACTAGGATAAACTAATAAATAAACAATACAATGAAGGAAGATTGGAAGACAACTGTGATTTTATTGTAGCTATTAAAAATTATAGCAGAACCTGTAGGTGTAAGGCTTTATTGATAAGCATATTGATAAGACTTTATAGATAGCAAAGATTATAAAAGAAAAAAAACTGTGCATGCCATCTAAAAGTATCAACAAATTCATAATGTTCCTTGACAATAGAATAATTTTATTCTAACATTAAATACTTTTCTTCTAACATTTCATAAATCCCTAATCAAGAGCACAAACTTATTCCAATTTAAGAATTATTTTCATTACTTTCAATAAAAGTAAGGCCTTGATTATGATTACATGAATATAGAAATATTCACTGTCAGTTTGTCTTTTAGCGTGATGAAAAACATGTTTATCACTTTACTAAAAGGCTTTTAATGGTATTTCTAAGCACAAAAGATAAGAAAAAGTACAAAAGTTGTATAGAAATTTCGTCAACTTCGCTCTAATTGTAATGGATCAAACCTGTAAGTGCATCTCAATAAAAGAGTAAAGTATAAAACTGTGTAACATTGCATTAAATCAGGGTGCGTAGCCAAACTATTCAACAAAAAATAAGCACCTTTTAAGCACTCAAAAAAATTTTTTAAGCACTTTAAAAAAATATCATAATTTGGCAGGGTTGGAAAATTTCTGACAATTAACGGTTTTCTCTTGTTACCATTAAAAAAAATTGCTATTTTTGGCAGTTGTCAAAAATCATGAAATTTTGAAGCATGCGAATGGCATTTTCATACGCTACGGACTGACAATATGCCGGAATAGATTAGGGCTGAATTAATTGAGAAACGTTGAATAGAACGATGTGAACTGGGTCTTTCTGCATAATTCATAGTGAAAATCAACATGGTAAAGGAAAAATCTCATTTTGAAAACGGGAAAATCAAGCACTTTTTAAAAACACCCAATAAAATAAGCACCTTTAAGGGCTTCTAAAAAACAAAAATCGAAGATAAGCACTTTTTAAAAACACTACGCACCCTGTAAATATAAATTGAGCACAAACTTCCATGTTATTACACTTGTAATTAGAATTGAAATTAAACAAATTTTTTTTTTTTTAATTATCACAAACCATTTTTTTTTCGAAAAATAGAGGACTTATACCTCAAACTATTTTCTCCCCGAATTTTCGGTAATTTTAGTTAAATTTTCTGACATTTCACGGATTTTTCCATATTAATAAAATTTCCTGATTTTTCCCAGGTTCTGTGTCTACCTTGGCTAAATGAAACATCGAACAAGAACCAAATTAAATAATTTGAAAATTCCTTAAACAACCTTTGGTATCGTTTTCTTCAATTTTGCAGAAGCAATAGCAGCCGCTAAAGAGGTTTCTGTCATCTCTTGCTCTCCACTTGGTCTCAAATGAAGTCTTGGCATTGTTGCCAACCCAGATATGCTAGAATTGGCAGGAGGAGGGGGTGGCGGAGGAGGAGGGACACTGGATTGGGGAGAGGGTTGTGGTGAAGCTACCGCCAACGGCTGCTGCGAAACTGATGGTGCTGATGAAGTACGATGATGACTGTACGAACTCGGGGAGGGTATAGAACCTGGAGTTGTTGGATGGCTGGAATGGTTACCTAACATAAAAAATAAAGAACCACTTAGACAGTAAGTTACACAATTGTCTAGTTTTGGGTAGTGCAACAACTTAATAATCCACAAAATGATTTTAAAAAAATTTCATATTAAAATCTTATAAACTTTTAATAAGTATCTTTTAGAATTTATTTCTACAAGATATAAGATTTTGTTACTGCAAAAATAAATGAATAAAGAAGTCATCATCATCAAAAATTTGTAGAATAAAGGAATTTTATTATAGGAATAATGATTTTACACAACCTTGTATAAATTACAGTCAACCCATTTTAAAGTTATACTATATAAGTCTACACATGTTTCTATGCACTAAATCTGCATAAACAAAACTTCATGGAATTTAATATCAAGGTTTCAAATTTAAGGTTACGCAGTATGCTTTTAATTAAATTTTTGGAATTTTTAATTAATATTTTGAAAGTACAATTCATAAAAAAATATAACTTTTTACTAATAAAATTTTTTTTATTTTATTTTTGACAGCATTATATTAATAAGTTTATCGTAATGCTTATAACTCTATTACATTAAAAACATGATAAAAATTATTTTAATCATTTTTTATTATTAGATCATAATAATTAACCAAACCTTTATTATTTTTAGGTATATATTGACACAACTTATTTACCACTTTTATATCTTTTAATATTTCCATCATTTTCAAACATTTTCTGAATAGTTCAAAAAATGAAGAAAAAAATGTTTTATTTTTATTAAAATTTTAAAATACTAATGCAGTAAATAGTAATACTGCCAATTAATGTAAACAATGAAGTTGATTGTTTCATTTGCACTGACAAGTACGGTAAAAATTACTTTTTGCGAGCATTACTAGTTAATCATCAGTTAATTTTCTTTTTTTGAACTGTTTTTATTTTATCTTTAGAAATATTAATAAATAGTTAAAAAAGGTCTTGATGTAATACTTTAGTTACTTTTTAAGCAAAAACTATTATTTAACCTTTTGTTTTAAACAAACCAGAAGAACACAGTTTAAATTAATTAAACCTCTGTCTAAACTGGAATAAAAAACAGGATTTTTTGGGTTTTTTTAAAAAATAAAACTGGGTTTATTCCAACCCTGATTAGCGGTCTAAAAATCAAAATCTTTTTTAGTTAGTAATTTGATAGAATTAGCAACATAAAAGAATATAACAAGAATTATAATAAAATATAACATTTTCACATTAATAAAAAGGAAGAAAGAATAAAAAGTAGCATATCACACAAATAAATTTTGAGCTCATATAAATATACAGAAAATATTATCACATCCTTATTAGAAATATTTTATAACTATGCTTTTATTGACTCGTTTTTATGCCAATGATGTTGGTATCTTGCAATTAATGTTTTGGCTACATTTCGAAATACCCAAACCCCTATTAGAACTGTGCTTGATGATACAAGTTTCAATCATTTCCAGATTGCTAAAACACAAAATTTTTTGCAATATTATTGTAAAATGGTACTATTAAAGAAATTCATTACTCGATAAACCTGATACACACTTTATTTTTGTAACTGTTTTCAAACAAGAAAGACAAGATTTTATTTCAATAAAATAAGCCAGATAAAAGCTTACCCTGGCTACTTCTGTAGTGGCCATATTCAGAACCGGAACTATAATCTGAAGTATTTGACTTTTTATCTCCATTTTCGTTATTTGCCCTAGAAAATATGGATTTTTTTACAAATGAAAACTAGTTGCCAAACTTAAACACACAGAAAACAAATACAAAAATAGTTGCTAAAAGGAATGGAAAAACCTCAGACTTGAATAAAAATATAAATGTTATACCAACTACAATTGAACTTTTATAGAAGATTAGGAACTTTCTAAATTATACATTTCTGATGAAATTGAAAAAGAAATCCAGTAGTTTATGCAAATCCTTCAAAATGGGCAGCTATGTATATGAACATAGCTTAAATCATGAGTTTAATGGAGATATTTAGGTAACATATCACACCCCTGCAAGTAAAGTGTCATAACTCTAAAATGCAGCATTTGAAAAAAATTAGCTTAAAGAATACTACAACTCATATTCTGAATTAGACACAAAACTGAAGCAACTACCTTCAGCTGGATAAATTACGAGTTAGAGATGTGACACTTTTTGAGCTTGATGGGGCGATTCATACATATTTTTTGACATTGCCTCAAAATTGCTGTTTTTTTACTTGTGTCACTTTCCTTGCCCGGGGGGGGGGGGCAATATATATAATATAAAGATATAATGCAAATTTTCTAAACAATACAGCCAATTTGAAAAATACAGCAAGGCATATAACTTGTTAAGATTTATTTTTAAAAATACTTAAAAATTTGAAATAATTGATTACTCAATTTGAGAGATAAATTGAAGTAAATCAAATTATATACTGTGATAAATATTTCAATTAATTTAACGAAAAAGAAACCTTTAACAATTTTGTCAAACTATATATCAGCAAATAATTATGATTTTTAAAATACTATGATTCTATAAAAATCGTTTGTATTAAATAAGTTAATAATAAAAATTTTACATTAAAGTGTTATAATTTTTTAAACATTAATTCTAGCTGTAACATAATTATAATAATCCAAGCTTCATAGTAGACCAGAATAAAAATCAGAACATTTTAAAAATAAATCAAGACATTTTTTTAGGTTATTTTCAAAAAACTTACATTTTTGATATTCAATGACTTTAAGTAATGACCAGCATACAAACTATCCTTAACTACTATAGTAAGAGACTATTTATAAGAAAAATGAAGGGCTAAAATAACTCTCAACTCTACTTTGAAACCTCATTCCATGCAGCATATTTCCTTAATACTCCCACCACAGAAAAAAAAAAAAAACATAGACAACACTCAATACTTTCAAATGAAAAAGTAAGACAGGAACAAGTGGATCAGAAATGATTTTTTAAAAAAAAAACAGCACAATTTCGCACTAGTTGAGAAATAATGGAACCTGAATTCTATCGACTTAAATAGATTCTTCAAAATCAGTTTATTATCAGTTAGTCTTATAATTATCAGTTCAAAAGAAAACCGATAATTATAGTTATTTTCATATGCTCAAGCATTATTTTCACACACAAAAAAATTACTTCAACACTAAATCATGTATACTTTACAGGCTAAATAATAAAGTTATGCGAAAATAAACAAATCATGATAAAGTGTAGTACACCGTAATCTGGAAACAAAATTTATTAAAACAAAAAAAACTAAGAAATGGGACATTTAAAAGTTCTTTCAATTTCGCAATAAATAAAATAAAATATATAAAAAAAAAAAAGAAAAGCAATGCTTTCATTTCAAATTTTACCACCTAAAAATGCTAATAAGTTTATTGTATCATAAGATAATCAAAAGACTGAAACAAGATTATAAATCTGGAAAAAAAATCAGGAATTTCAGGAGAAAATGCTAAAAATCAGGACAGAATACCTTATATCAAGAAAATCAGAACTATGAACCCTGAATAATATATAAAATTTAAATAATATATTATATGAACAGTCAAACCTTGATATCACAAACTCAAAGGAAGAGAGAAGATTTTAGTGGTTTCAAAAAATTGAAATATTAGTTAAAATAATAAGTGCACTGGTATTTCAAAAGTTATATAGCTTGTATTAACTACAAAAATCAGTTATTTCAAACAATGTCATTAAGGAAAACCAAGAAATATAAGACATTTTATTTTTATATTTCCAAAACAGCAAATGTATATGGAAATCAGATTTTGTAATATCATGGTTAAACAGTATATACAGAGTACCTGCTAAATCTAGAGTTGTTAAATCCATAACCTTCTATCATTTTCATGACTTTTACCGAACACTTTCCATGAATTATGCAGGTTAATACTTTATTACTCAATACAGTAAAAACAAGATTGAAATGAGTGCAACTTTCTTCCTAATGTATGACCATTTTATATCACACAAATGCGAATCATGACAATAGATTTTTCAATCGCATGACTGGGGATCATGATGTATGATTTTTAAATCACAAATATGGATCACAATGTGTATTTTTTAAATCAAATGAATTAAAATTGTACATATGATTATAAATTCACACAAATACTGATCACGATGTTTGATATTTATACCACACAAATGCAGGTCATAATGGGGGATTTTTAAATCATGTAAATACAAATCGTGATGCAGGATTTTCAAATTGCCTGACAGGATGAAGAGCTCCAATACACCAAATCCATGACGAACTGGAAGTTTCCATGAGTTTTTAGCATTTATCACTGAAACTCATGACTTTCCAAGAAAATTTTCAATCAAGGTCTAAATCAATGAACTTTCATGATTTTCAATGACTTTTCAGATATACAATACATTATATTTGTTTTCATAAAAGAAGTCTCAAAACAAGTCATGAGTTTTAACAATTCACTACTTCATTATGTTTCTGTTCAAATGTTTTAACTTTAATTCCTAAATGAATCACACAATATAGAAATCATTACCATCCTCTGTATTCTGCATAGTCATCAATACTAACACCACTATGTCCAATAGTCTGATATAATGGTTGAGCATGCGAAGAACGATTACCTGAAATTAAGTACAAAATTTGAAGGAAACAGAAAAAACAATGAAAATTTAAAATAACCATTAAATACTAAAAGCGGCTAGAGGTCATAAGAATATTGCATTTCATTAAAACAATTGGGTTTAATTGTTGTAGCCAAGAGGAAAGATCTGTTATACCCCTATCATAGAATTAAAAAATCTGGAAATTATTAACACAATATTTTTATTATAATAAAATTTTCTTTGATAAATATGTATGACCTGACAAACATATTTTCTTACATTGTAATGAAGCAAAATTGTGAAATAAGCAGAAAAAAGTACTGCTTAAAACATCCTTTTTAACTCACAAAATTAATCTTACTCTTTAAATTTTTTCATACATATTTTTAATTTCTCACCGTTCTCCAATTTTTAATACATATTTTTAATTTCTCGTTTTTTTTTCCTTCTTTTTTTTCCTTCATTTTTTAGACTGATACACATTTTCTTACATTGTATTCCTAGGTAGAACTCTGCCATAAATACACTTCAAAATTTAAAATTGGATAAATAGGTCACAAAATACACATTTCAATGAACTAAATGAAGTCAAAAATATTTAGTCACATAACAAATAAAGAAACTGCATATACAGTGAAACCCCGCTATACCGAACCTTCAAGGGACCAAAATTTCAGTTCACTTTATCCGTACTGCAAACGATTTTAACTAATTTTTCCAAACTGCTCCCTTTTTATTACACATTATTTCAATAAACGACCCACATTGACACATTATTCAATAAATGTTTTATTTTTATTACTCTTTGTCTTGCGTACAAAAAATTAAGACAAGCCTTTATTCGGGGATAGCAAAATGAGATAGAAGAAGCAAACAAGAAAAAAAATGCTTACGGCTACATTCCACTCATATGGTTTTAAAAAATCTGCATATGTATTTTATGTAGAAATTTCAAAATTATGAAAAACACGAAGAAAAAAAATCAGTCAAAAACAGAAAGAATTTCATAATATCCAATTTCCTCTCTTCTTTTGGTACACCATATTCACAAAAAATATTATTATATGTGTATAGCAAGGCACAGGAGTGAACATTTTGTTCACTATATCCGGGAGCTTACTATAGCAGGGCTTGACTGTACATAATCCTCTCTTTCTAAACACAGAAGATATAGAATTCACTTTCGAATCTGAAAACACATTACAAATGATACAAACAAAAAATTGTTCTTACTCAAATACATACTGCTATGACCGAGAATATCAATAACTCTCTCCATAGCTAAAGCAAATGTCTCAGCATCATCTCTGGAATGGAAATTCAATCCAAATACTTGGCTATGTTTATCTCTCCATTGATGAAAGAGGGGAGTGGCTTGAAAGTACTTAAAACCTTTCAGAATGGAGCAATTCAATACAACCTATGACATAAAGAAAGTTATTAAAAATACTAACTTTCATAAGATGGGGAAAAAAACACACTAAAACAGTTTTAAACTACATTCAATTGTTCTGGAATAAATTATATGAATATAGTGAGTTTAAGACAAGTTTACTTGAATTCGAGCAACTCAATTTAAAGGAGAAAATAAGTGTGAGAATCTTAATACATACCAACCAATATTGGAAAAATGACAATAAAAATGTTTTTAAATTTAGATGTACTCTACACTTATTAAACTTTTTTTAACATATAAAATGCCATTTATGCCAAATAATAACCCTGATGATTTATTATAATGAAACACAGTAACAATTAAAATAACTTCCAAATATGCAACAATAATAATCAATTATAAACATGAGATAAGTAAATTACAATTTATGTTGGAAAACAGAAGTTTACTATAAATTTTGCAAAAAAGGATAAAAAGTAAGGTTGTTCTGAAACTTAACATGTAAAGGTTGTCTATTTTAATGTTATGTTGTAACAAATGTTAATGTCATTTAAAACATACATCATCCCCATGTTCCATCTAACATGTAAAAACTCACTGGGAAAAAAAGGAACTGAATCCCCAAGTGTTTCCACACTAATTAAGCCCCGAGATTAAGCTTGAAATTAACTACAATGGACAAGTATGACATACCTCAGTTTTCAAAACCGTCATGTAAAAAAAATTTAAAAATGCATTCATATACTGATTTAATATCATGATTAATTATTTAAATAGTAGGTTGCTGGTAGTTTTTATTATTGAATATTATATACAACTTTTAGTTGCATACATTTATAAAGTCTTGAACAGACTTATTTTATTCCATAAATTTATTTTAAAATATGCTCATACACTATATTTAAAGGTGCGGGAAGCATTAAAATTATAACAAAGCAAAATATTTTCAATTCAATATTATGAAAAATAAAATAGAAACTACACTACCTTTTTGATTTGATAATGTTAACCTAAAAATTACTTGAGATAAGATCTCTTAATTAAAGTGAAATATTCAGCAAAACTGTGATTTTTTACATTTATTATTATCAATCATATATTTATAAATTAATATATATATTTATGTATAAACATAGATTTGCATCTAAACATATTAATTTATACTTAGATATTGACATGTACAAACATTTGTTTATACTTGTACATTAAATTAAATGATTTGAAAAGAATATGACAAATAATCTTTACGTGTATTATAATTATGACCAATATTATAGGTCTTTTGACAGTTTCAACTGATATTTGATGGTTTTGCTACCAGTTCTTGGCATTAAAACCAAACTCTGAAACTACTTAATAAAAATATTAATATTTAAACAAAATAATAAATTGGTAAAGAAATAAATCCCAACAAAGTATATCTTGAAGAAATTTAAAAAATCATGAACATATCTAACATATAAAAACTTTGTTGTATGACAATATTTAACACAAATAAAGGATAAGGTAAACAATTGAAATATGATACATATAATGATTACTTCATGATCTTGGACTTTTCTACCAACTACACGGAATGTATTATTTTCAACATGATGGTAAATATGAACTTTGGATAATCCGCTAGAAGATCCACTGGGCATCCATTTCTTTAAATTAGAATCATATATTAAAACAGCAGCTCGAGCTGAGGCCACAGACTGTTCACTAAAAATAAAAATCTAATTAGCTACAACAGAATAAAATTCTTTCTACCTTAGAAGAAGAAAAAATAATCCAAGTGAAAGGTACAGTAGGGAACCGATTATCCAGAACGATCGGGACCATCGCTATTCCGGATAACTGATTTTTCCGGTTTTCTAAATCGCTACAAAAAGCCGTTTTTTTAATGTTAAACCCAACTAAAAAAAAATTTTTTTTTTTGGAAATAATCTTAAAAAGAAGAAAAAACGATGGAGTAATACTCTAATGATTATTTCCAAAATGATGGTAAGGTAAACATCTTTCAAAAAAGAACGAAAAATCCTAAAATCTTATGAGGAAAAAAAAAACAATTTTTTTTAAAATGGCGGGAAAATTTATCGACTTTCGTTCCGGTTTTTTGGTTTTCTGATTTCCGGATAACGGGTTCTGTACTGTAGAACAATTAACAATGTAATATATTGATATAATTAATGCTTATCAAAGTGCTTTCTTTTCTACAACTTAAAGTATGTGTAAAAAAATTTTTGAAACAAAAAATATCATAATTTAAAAATATTGTAACAAAATATAACTTAATTACTAATTTAAACAATATCACAAGCTTTTGTAGATCAATGTATAATAGAGAAAAAAGGTTTAAAAAAAATCTAAAACAGATCATGGATTTAACTAATATTTAAAAAAAATTATAATGAGATTCATAAGAAAATTTAAATAAAAATAAACAATAGCCAAAATATAGGTGTGTAATTGCTTGCCACACCAGTACAATAAAGCATAAACAGTAGATGATTCTTCTAATAAAAAATATTAAAAGAAAATATAATATTAAGCTTCTTATTTCTTACATAACTTAAGAAAAATAAAGAATGACCCAGTTACAATTATCATTTAAGTTATCTAATCATGCTAATTCAATGACATAATCAATTTCAAATAACTTATGAATAAACTACCTATAACATTTTTAATGCTACTAAACTTATGTTTTTAGCATATGGTAAAATTATGAAAATGAAATTTTACTACTAACCAGTGGGAAGCTGTAGCATTTTTAACAGCGGTCACTTTTTAAAACATACTGCCATTCTTAGAAAATTTTAAATGATTAAAAAATACTGTAAATCTTAATATTTCCCAAAACAAGATTAATAAACATTATAAGTTACATCTTTAAAGTAAAGAAAAACTTTAAGAAACAAGTATGAAATAAAATAGTTTTCAAAGATTACCTATACAACAATCATAATTCTAAATTCAGAGATATAGCTGTAATATTTTTTATATAGAGTAAAAATACCACCTTGACTTTTCAGGGAGATGGAAATTCAATTTAGAGGAGTGAAACAATTACATTTTAAATTACAGAAACCAATTTTAAATATAACTTCTATTGTAATAGAGAAAAGTTTGTCAGGTGACTACTCAAGAATTTTCTAATAATCATTCATTATAAAAGTAGCCTCAAGACTGGTAGCGACCATTAATTTTGGGAAATTGCTTCTTAGGAAAAATTAATAACAGTGAAACTCCAGTTATTATTGCAGTAAACTTAAATGAGACAAACCAAATTATAACAATCCAACTAAACTACAAAAAATCAAACCACATGATTAAATAAAATGTATATTATAAGAAAAATAAGCAACAGACAGAACACAGTACATGCAGAAAGCTATTCATTATTATACTAATTCAATAAAACCCACTTAACAGAGAATACCAATTCTAACAACATATAAAAACTTAATATAAATAATAATTAATGGCTTAGTATAAATTTTAACCTTATTAATAATGGTAAAACAATAAATGATTTCTAAAGTAAATTAAATAATAACTAAACAACAAATATTGGATTAGTAAGCTTAACACACTAATTCATTAATTTATATACAATCATATTTAAATGCTAATTTATATATTACACTAAGCCTGTAGATCACGAAAGATGTTTCAAAACTGCAAGCAACAATATGAGCACGAAAATATTTTAGTTTAATGTGTCTGACTAAGTTAATAGTTATTTATGTCACAGAGACAACTGTTAATAGTGAGTTTTGCTTACATTCCATAATATATAACATTCATAAACTAACAATACATAATTAGAATAAACGACTTTAGAATAAAAAAACAAAGACCATTCAAAAGCACATTTTAGAAATATTAAAATTTTTTGAAAAAAAATCGCAAACATAACATGTAGTAAACGTTCGCAAGTCTGAGAAACATGAGCAGATTTGCAATATAATTAAAACATGAATAAGTTTACATTCAATTATTGTTTAAATCAAATTTCAATAAGAATTAGATTAAACCAGCAGCTAAACAACAAATCCATTTAATCAACCGCCCCCTATCAAACTTATTAAAATATATTTTAATTTATACTATGATCACATGATATTGACCTTCCAGTAATATTTAAATGTGGAATATTATGTTCAAAAATGAAAAGTCTCAAAATATTCAACAAATATTGTGACCTTACCTCATTTTAAATAGCCGCTTGAGCGTAAAATTCTGATCAGCACTAAAGTAACTATTCAAAAACTTTGAAAGTTATCACAATAAGATTGATCTCCGATAGAAAAGCTTTAAGACTTGGAATTATTTCCATGATTTTTATAGTTAGAATCCAATAGAATTTTGAATATTAAAATACAATTCAAGCCATCTCAAATGCAAACAAAAAATAATGAAATAAAAATAGATACAGAAATACATTTTGAAAAAGTTGAGTTGTATCTTACTTACTATAGAAAACAAACAAAATCAAGTTACAGATGGCGCTAGATGTTATCCTTCAATCATTTAAAATCCAGAGTAGAAGAGAGTGGAAAGTCATGCAGCCATTATCGATCATTTCTGGTTTTGTCGTCTTTCAGTTGTTGTTGTAGTTCATTTTACGTCGCACTAGAGCTGTACAATGGACAATTGGCGACGATCTGGGAAACATCCCTCGTCTTTCAGGAGTACGACAAATAGCTTATTAGAGTCGCTCTAATTCAAAATTTGCCGTCAAATCAATAAAACTAAAATTCGCTTATACGAAATCCCATGAAGAAAAAAACATACGCTCAGTACGACTCTCAGAGAATCGACGATGTATTTTAGAAATGCTGGGGTATTTATTAAGTAGTTATTTATGTATTTGGAAATAAATGTAAACAAAAAAAAAATCATTTAAAAGCCGGAAGGAGGTTTTGAAGCTTCCGGTGTTTCCCTCCTCTTTAATATGTCGTCGAGGTGGTGTTTGAACTGGCTTAATATTCTGGGAATTTTTAGTATTGTGATTAAATTTAGGCGTAATTTCACCATTTATAAGTTTTTTTTCTGTAGTTTACAAATTCTAAAAGGTTTTGAGCTTTATATCAATTTAAAAAAATTATTGTAATGACATAAAGAAAGTGTCAATTTTGCCTTGCTTTGAGTGTTATCTCTTATTTAGCTATATTTGCACAAAATGTTGCGTTTTGTTAGTTTTTAGGCAACGTCACGGCATGTTTCTGGATCTTCCGATGTATTGTTTGGGGAATCCTTTCTGTTGAAATTTGTAAATTGAAGTAACTCGTTAGATTGTTGTTGTTGTTGTAGCTAAGTTACGTCGCACTAGAGCTGCACGATGGGCTATTGGCGACGATCTGGGAAACACCCCTGAGGATGATCCGAAGACATGCCATCACAATTTTGATCCTCTGCAGAGGGGATGGCACCCCCGCTTAGCGTTAAATTGTAAACACTTCGAGTATAATAATATTGGATGGTGCGCTTTTTGCTACTTAGGCAATAAAATAAATCAGAAGTAGCAACCCAAAAATTTTGCAAAGATTTTTAACACCTTAGCACAACTTGCCCCAATTTTATACAGTCCTCTATCCATACTGATACTATTTCTTTGTTTTATATTATTTTATTGCATAAAAAATAAGACTCTCGTTCATATAATTGTCAATTAAAGATTGAAATGGGCTACAGGTGGTCCAAAGAAGAACTCTTTATATTAATTCTAGATATGTTTCCATTAGCGTGTGCAACACCTCAGGCGAAACGCTGTGTGGGGAGTTATAGGAAAAGGAAGTACGTTAATTACTGCCTTGCTTTTCAACCCGATTTTTCATGTAACCAAATTTTTTATGTAATTTTTACATAGTAAATTTTATCTTTAGTATTATACGTGGATTTCCTTATGATAAAATTGTACACATTAAGTTAAAATTATGTTATCACATAAAGTTCTTAAAGCTATGGGCTATTTATTGCAGAAAATTATAGCACAAAATTTAATACTATAATTAATACCAGTAGAAAATTTTCAAAGTAGTACAACACTGCACTCAGAGAAAATATTCATAAAAAAATTCAAAAAATAATGTATAAATAATTTTTATTATTATTATTATTTTGAAAATATTTTTTTCTTTAACGTATTAGAAATTTTTTGCAAATAATTTTATTATAATTTAGCTAAACTTACTAAATTCTCAATACTTGACGAAAAAATAATTAAATTTTTAACGGTACGTAAATTTTAAAACATAAAAATAACAATGATAAAAACGGCACTTTATTTAAATTCATCCATAACATGATGCCATAAATACGATTTGTGCTGCTAAAATATTCCTAAATCTTCTTAAAAAGTTTGTATTATATCCAACACAGCAAAGAAGGTACATGAAATTCCACCAGCCATACCAACAAGAACGATCTGCAGCAGAAATATTTTTTCAATAAAGCTAACATTCCTGTAAGACATGACATAATTATATTATAAATTGGATATTATGTAAATCAAAAATAGGAACTATTAACTTATTGTAACTATCAACATATGGATGGTGTTTTCTACACTAGGGAACGCTGCAAGCTCGGTACCGCCTAAATTTCTGGGTTACTGTTTCCATTGTATTTTAAAGCCATTTGACATCATTGTGTTTTGAGATTCATGTAAACAATGTATTTGATTACTTATTACTTGTGTTTATAATGCTAAAAGTGTTATCACTAACATAAGATGGTGCACAGCTTGCAACAAGAACAAACAGTAATAAACTTATTGAAAGAGGCCAAATCAAGACAGCCAAAAAAGCGAGTTATTCAAAATCTAGCAGTCATGTCACCTTTTTTAACTATATCTCTAAATAACTAAAACAAATTTACACTTAAAACTCCCCAGAATTACATAATAGCATTAATATCTTATGAAATACGACTGATTTGAACTCAGAAATTATCTAATTTATTTCTTTTATGGGAAACAAAATTATCCGTTTGAAAATATCGCCTTCCCAGAATAGCATGTAGTAAGCAGCTGCAAACTTTCTAACCGGAACTAGAGCAGGCATACAGCTCGAGATTGTTGTTGTTTACATTTCTACTGAAAACACCATCCATACGTTTTTCGGCAAGAGGTTTTTTTAGAAGATTTTAGAGCTAATTTTCTCTCTTTTAATATTTCAAAAATCCCTTAAAGTTTAGGTACTGGATAAGTGCCTCTCTTACTATTGCGATTGGTACATCCTTAAAAACAAGGATTAAAAAAAATCAATAAATAAATGAGGGGAATTAATCAGTTACGATTCATACGAATTTGTAGCCCAAAAGAGCAAAAGCATGAAATACGATGGTTCATATCGCATTTTGGTTCGCCAAAAACATGCACAGTTTTTCGAAGCGCTACTTGTTGAAACTATTTTATTTGTTATCAAGGTTGACACGGACTGGAAAATGCTAAATAGCGACAGACAAACTAAATGAAACTGAAATCGCTTCATCTATTTGTTACTACCAAAAATATTAAGAAAATATCATGGTAAAAACAGTGAACTTAATTCCTAAAATCAAAGTAACTTTAAAAAAAAAATTTCAGCATTTTGTAACATTTGTCCCTACTTCAAAATTTTTTCCAGTAGCAACTCTGGTTATAGAAATTAAATATTAAATAAAATTTTTTTTTTTTTAATTATATTTTAATAAGATGGTTACCGGTTCAGATCTTGTAGTAGAACTGTTTAGCGGAGAAATGTGTAATTATTTTGATAAATAGACTAACGCAGTGGACTGTGAATGTTGTTTTGTATAAAATGGCAACCACTTCAGACCTTGTTATAGAACTGTTTAACGGAAAAGTGTGTGGTTATTTTCATAAATAGACTAACGTACTGAGCTGTGAACATTACTTATTAGCTACCTTCTTATTTTAGCTACCTTAATTATTTTTCATAAAATGGCAACCACTTCAGATCTTATTATAAACCTTTTTAACGAAGAAGTATAAGGTTATTTAGTAAGGTTATTTATTGATAAATAGAGCAATGCTGTGGACTCTGTACGTTACTTTTCAATGAGCAATGTTTGTATCACTAAGCAGCTGTTTGTATGATAAAATTTTTTAAATAATGTCCCCAGTATATATTTTATGCAATGAATACTGTTTTTAATCTTTAACCCTGGTCCCTATACAAGATTATACTCGTAGACAATAGACAATATTGCAGTACCTTCTTTATATAGTAGTGCCTTTTTGTTCTAGACCGACAGGTGCGATTTAACGGGATACTTCTGCACATTATGTAGCGTTTTCTAAAATATCGCGTGTTTTGGTTTACGGTTTTCTTTCAATAAGCGTGATATAACGCAAGGAAAAAAAAACATAAATAAATAAACTAAATTTAAAAAGGAAACTTACTTTTTAATCAAATAATAGAATAGAGAAGGAAAGATAAATGTTAGCAAAGTTGTTGTAGATCCACCAACTAGATTCATCATTTTGTCAAAGTGTGGTATTGTATATCCTATAGTCACAACGAGGAATATAATGAAAGTGCGAATCAAACATCGTTTGTAGTTGAAAACTGAAATAATTAGAAGATATTGTAGCTCAGCACAGTTATAAAAGTGAACAACTAGAGTTTATTCAAGGTTTATTCAGTTTATTATAATTTGCACAAGTAAAAGCTGGAATTGAAACATTTATGAGTCTTATAATAAAAAGAAAAATTTAAATAGAAGCCATATTTATAGTTGTAATGATTAAATTAATATAGTCCAACTAATTTATAAAAGCGATATTATTAATTCACGTCATTTTAAGTTACAAGATGGCATTATTACGTTGGAATTTATGTGTAAAATAATTGTAAGATAACTGATAAATGATGAAAGAAAAACCAAGCATGTTACAGTAACTTAAAAAAAATAATAAAAGGGCAAAATTTTAAAATAAATTATTTTATTTCAATTTGAATGAAATGGTTAAAATTTGGACAAAAAAATAGTCTTATTCATATTTTTGATTGTTACCCATACCCAGTGAATAAAACCCCAAATTATATTGTTACTAATCTTGATTTTAAATTATTACTAGGAAATTTGATGTTTGTATGCTGTTGTCAACACTTAACACTATGTGTAGTAAAGTACCAACTTTTTCGTTTCAGTTACATATTGATACTTTTATAATTAGGAATAACTTACAAAACCTGATACTTCAAGTATCAGATACATATTTATCTTAATTTAGATCTTAAATAAAAATCTAGGTGAAAAATTAATTTGTTTATTTTTATTAGATCTAAAAAAATTAAATTCTATTGCTATAATTTTATACAAATTACAAATACAGAAATTAATTATAATGTTATACAGAACTTAAAAATAATTTGTTAAAAAATTGGCATACATAATATATTTTCATTATCGTTACTTTCAATTAAGTTACAAAAATAAAATAAAAACATTAATATAACTATCACTGATTCATACATTAATAACAATTGAAAAATGAAATAATTGTAACTAAACAAAACTTTTAAGTTTGTTTTTTTCGGGATAATCTAACTCGCTGCTTCAGCTCATGCGAAACATATTTGGAATGAAATTGAAATTAATTGGTCTAATTAAAAATTTATTTAAGTAAAAAAAAATAATATTATATATTAACTTTAAAATAAATATTTGTGGAACTTCTTTTATAGTTTCTCAAGCTCAAACCAAATTAAAATTTCTAACGATTATTTTAATATAACAGGAAAATGTAATCATGTAGAAATGTATTCATTTTGTAAATTTGTGACGAATCGAATGCGTATGAAATTTAAAAAATCAACTTCCTTTTATTAGTTGGAAAAAGGAATTGTTTTGGAATAATGAATCCGCAGTTACCGAATACATTCGGATCAACAGAGTAATCGTTTCAGCCAAGTTAGTACTCTGAAAATAATACAAGTAGATACAATGATACTACTTGTCCCTCAGTGATATTGATAAGCAGTTAGCCCTAAATGATACGATTTCAAATGAATCCAATATTTTAAAACAATCTTGGAGTTGCTTTAAAATAGCGCTGCCATCTAGAGGCATAAGATATAAAAGTTATTTTTCATTTAAAGTGCTAAGTACCTTTAATTACTTAGTACAAAATATCAGATTCACTGATACAGATCCATTTCTACTATGCAACAAATACTTTAAATAGCAGAAAACACCTTATTTTGCCCATAAAACGATTTTACATAAATTTGATCGGGGATCGATCCTCAATGGCGGCTTGAAGCCCACTCTGATTCAGATCGACGGGTACCAGCTTGTTTGGGAAGGAAAATGGTGAACTGCGTTCAGTAATTGCTGCAATTATACCCACCTACTCTTAATAGTGTACGAATTGCGTTACTAGCAGATGTGTGATAATTTACCAAAGTGTTCAATATACACTGGATAGAGCCATCTTTCCGATTCTCGTCGACATATGAGGGTGCAATTTATAACAATCAAACGTTATCATGGAAATAAGCTTCTACCTGACCAAGAATAATGTCTCGAAACATATTATGCCAGGATTAAATTTCAGGAATTGGAGTTAGGATTAGATTTACAACTAGAATATAATATATAAACTTCTTATATTGCATTTATGTATTATGTATGGCACTTAACTTTAAAAAATTACAGTGTAAGGTATATAGAACAAATGTATATACCTGACAATGGCATTTGATCGTACAGAAAATTTAAAATAGCGGCTTTCAAATAAATCACAAATTTATCTGAAAGCTCCTTAACTTTAGCCCCTTGTCACAATAAAAAGAGCAAAAAAAAATTATAGTTTAAACACAGTTTTTATTTCAAAATTTCAGAAAAAAATTACTATAAGTATAAAATTACTATTACACTGCTGGACAATTGCTAAGGACGGATCACAAATTGCAATGTAGCATAACATTAAGCGAGACATGAGACCTAGTAGGATAAAGTATAGTTGCCACACTGTTCAGACATTAGAATAAAGAACATTCATTGTTCTGGAAAGTACAAAAGCTATGAAACATCTGAAAGAAAAAAAATGTTCATNTCCTTAGCGATTGTCCAGCAGTGTAATTGAAAACTTCGTAATTGACGAAAAATTGAGGGAACACTAATTGACGTATCACTACAACCTTGTTAATAGCGACATTGTTAGCGTGACCACGATCTTATCAGAAAATGTTTTACTGCATAATTGAAGGATGGTGACAAGGTTTGCTTTGAGTGCAGTTCACCAACTTTTCAGAATATGGAATGAGATATTAGAAGCGCAGTCCACCAGGCTTTAAAAAACCATTAGCGCAATCTGCTATCAACGTGTGGAAATAAAGTTGACTTGATGACCAAATTGCCACCATCATGCCGTTAGTCACTTCCATTGTCCCTTGTCCTACAACAGGCTGTGGTGAGAATGCTTTACTTTTTACTTCGATTTGAATGGGAATGTTTGGTTTCGGACAAAGAATAGTTTTATACATATTTTCAGTTGTTACCAGCGGATAGAACTCTACCTTACGTCATGATATTAAATGGTATATGTCATGATATTAAATGGTTACTATGAATTTTGATGTCTGTATGCTGCCGTCAACATATTAAAAAAAAACATGGTTTTTATTAAATTTCTTTAGGGTTGAATAAAATTCATGCAAAAGTGGTCAAAACTAAAAAAAAAAAACTAATTCAACAATAATTTCAAGCCTTAAATTTAATGGTTTACAAATGGTTACTAAATTTAATGGCTTAATAATACAAGTTTAACAGCAAGACTGCCCCTTAAAAATTTTGTTTACAAACCTGAAGGCACATTAAGAGCCTCTTCGATCTCCTGTACGACTGGATTAATTCCTAGAAGAATGGCCAAGAAAGTGTGGATGGCCAAACATACTTCGATGAAGGTTCTGAGGCTTCCTTTACTCAGAGAAAAGATCAAATTCGGAGCCACATCCGATCCATATACCATGTATCCAGTCACAGTGACAGGTATATACAAGATGAGGAGCGCTGAAATATGGAGTAAAGCATGCATAGGCAACTGCTTTATACATAAGATACAGTAATTCCTTAATACATCGCTCAATCGCTTATTTGATGGTATTCATATTTTTATTATTAAACTATGGTTTATTAATCTATGATGAGATACGGAAGCGTTTGTGTGTCTGTCCTTCTGTGTACCTCTCTTTTATCTCAAGAACCCTTTTTGTTAGAATGCTGAAAATTCAAATTTAAGTCATCAATCTTAAATACACTTTTAAAAAAATTAGTTTGTATGGAAGGGACGATGGAAAGTGAAAGTTCCTCACACGCTTTTTTTCAATTCAAACTGCACTCATTTTTTCTTTTTAATTGCTTAAAAAATAATATCAGTTATGCTTACTAGATTACAGTTGTATTTTTTTTAAGGAAAATAGTTCCACCGAAAGCTTTTTACACATTGTTTAATACTTATTTATCTTTCATTATTTTATGTCAGGTAAACACCGGTGAAATCAAATCACGTGTGGACGACGTATCGAAATTAGTATTCTGAAAATTGTCTGAAATCAAGGCGTACTTACTTTGGTTACAGTCTCTATAATTCTAAATAATGGGTAATGGACGGTGTTTTCTACACTAGGGAACGCTGCAAGCTCGGTACCGCCTAAATTTCCGGATTACTGTTTCCGTTGTATTTTAAAGCCATTTGGCATCGTTGTGTTTTGAGATTCTTGCAAACAATGTATTTGATTACTTATTACTTGTGTTTACAATGCTAACAATACTTGTGTTTACAATGCTCAAAGTGTTAATACTAACGTAAGATCAGGGCCCGACTTAGCCTAATTGGGGCCCGGGGCAAAAACTTCTTTGAGGGCCCCCCACTGCTTCAGCAATGAAGATTTGAACTTTATGGAAGTATCGTTCACCTCATAGTTAACAAGAAAATTGACTAGAATCTAAAATAGCTATAAAGTCCCCCTCTAATGGTTTATCCTTAATTCTGACCATTTCATTGATTTTTCTGACAATTCTATGTCCATTATGCCGAATGCCGTTTAATGATAGTTAACTTTGTCAGCTAGCTGCAAAAAATTCATATCCTTGCTGACATTAAGGAGGAATTAAGCTAAATTCGCGCAAATACGGTGGCTCAATTAAGACAATCATGAATTTTTGTAAATATATTGCATTTTGCTATACGTAAAAATACAGGCTTTCGATTAGCCAAATTTGTCCATCATTTCGAAAATTTTGCTGACTTTCGCACTAGAAAGTCATCGACGGATTTATATGGATTTACGAAGTCTAAATTTTTTGTGTTCATACGATAGACTAATGAAGAAGCTAAAATAAAACTGACGGATTTTACACTGTACTGTAACGGATTTTACACATTAATAAGGAAAACCTAAAATAAACTTTCTATTTGGGGGCCTCCTCTGGTGTGGGGCCCGGGGCGACTGCCCCGTATGCCCCTGCCTTTGTCAGGCTCTGCGTAAGATGGTGCACAGATTGCAACAAGAACAAACAGTAATAAACTTATGGAAAAAGGCCAAATCAAGACTGCCAAAAAAGCGAGTTATTCAAAATCTAGCAACCATGTCACCTTTTTTAATAATAAATAACAAAATAACTAAAACAAATTTTCACTCCAAACTTCCCAGAATTACAAAATAACATTAATATCTTATGAAATACGGCAGATTTGAGCTCAGAAATTATCTAATTTATTTCTTTTATTGAAAACAAAATTATCCGTTTGAAAACATCGCCTATCAGAATAACATGTAGTAAGCAGCTGCAAACTTTTTAACCGGAACTAGAGTAGGTGCCGAGCTCGAGATTGTTATTATTTACATTTCTACTGAAAACACCATCCATAGTTTACTATCGGGGACCCCTCTTTATGTTTGTGGATTTAAAAATAAACCAATATATATGAATAATAAACCAAGAATTAATCGTATAATGGTAAATAAAAATTGCGGTCAAAAATTTCTTTTGATGAGTTTAATTTATCAAAATGTGTCTGCTTAATCTAATAATATAAAATCACGGAAAAGGTAACAGGCAATAGAAAAAGGAAAATATTTTAATTGTTTTATAGTGCCTTTCAATTTTGTGTATACTTGAGTAGGTGTCGAAGTCATAGGCTGAACTAGATCAGTGTTTCATCATCATTCAATCTATTTCCGTTTTCACTGTTCCCATTGGACAGTAAAGAAATTGTACAAGTAAAGAAATGACGTTATCTCAGACATCTCTATTAATCAATTCGTTGATATTTTACGATTTTTTTAAAAATCCTGTACAAAGAGCTAGTATTCAGCTGGTATTAAGAAATGTTACGTTGTTACTCACTGATGAAGCTGACAATTGAAGCTTTATTAAATTGTTGCTTGCACCTCATATCATTTTGCACTGTGACATAGAAAAATATTCCTCCAAAGGCGAACAGCATGGTTCCAAATGACATCGATATCGAGGAAATTGTTGGTGGCTCCCAGTTCACGGTTTCTGTCTTTAAAAGATCCAACACGATACCTACAATCATGGCCAAGCAAGCGGCGAGTATAGACAGCATAGCCCCCAAGCCGGCAAATCTATTGAGAAAAAAATTGAATTAGTTGCTCTTGAAAGTCAGACAGGAATTTTTTTCCTAGAGTAGTATTAAAAACTACACAGTGTTGAGTTGAACGAAATTTGAATGTAACAAAATACAAATACTTTGCAAGGAATTTGAAAATTTCTTTTCCGTCCTTTAGATAAAAGTATGCGTTTCTGTATAAGCTAAAGGTGTTTAATTCATACATCAAAACCGAAATGGTCCAGGAAGCGAAGAGTTGCCAAGAAAAATTGCCAAACTTCCTGTGAATTTTCCGAAATCTCGCTTACTAATGCCTCTAGTGCTTTGGGAAGGTAATAAAGGCTTTCGTCACCAAATATGTCTCCAAAGTAGCCAAGATTTCCTAGTTGGCGATGGTTCCTCAGTTAATGAGGGAGTTTTTAGAGCACACGATCTGTAAGTCGTGTACTGTAAAAATACGCAAAGTCACCAAACCAATTGGGAAATGATTTGGAAATGGTTATGATGATTTGAAATTTTGGCCGACCGATCTGTGTGGGGTTCAGGGAACTGACATGGCATCAGAAAGGTTCTGGGTTCGAATCTTGGGCAAAGGCATGAAGGTTCTTTCCTTCTCTACATGATCTGTCCTTTCTGTGAGAGCAACGTTGGCCCACCTAATATTGTGCTTCTGAAAGAGTGGCCAACAAATCTGCCCTTCAGATGCCTGTATGACGAAAGGTCATTCTCCAGGCGGGCATTGGAGAAAAAAATTGGAATTTGGAGATATGATGCGTGGTAAACAAAAGTAATTACAGATTCGGGTGCGTACATATTATTCCGACGACCATTTTTGCCAAATCTAAAAATAAATTTGGACGTGATTCAAACTTAAATATTTTCTCAATTTTTGCATGCAATAAGTTATATTTGTATTTCGTTTATTTTTATTTCTTTATAATCAATTACAATGTGAAAATACATTTGAAAGATACCAAAATGCTTTAGACGTAGCGTGACCAAAAATGTGAGACGATATAATACGTAAGGTACCCAGATTCGCTATTTTCAGTCAAAAATATACAAAAAACACACATTTTTATCTAATACGTATTTTCATGTTTTACAGGCTGGCGATAAATAGTTAATGTCCATACATAATCGCAACTTTTTAAAATCTAAGTATTCAGCAGATGAAAATTTCAGTTAATTTAAACATTAATATAATACCACTTACCACCAGAAAGTTCCTTTCCTATTCAACATATACAATTCGGAAGAAATAAGTTTATTTGTTTATCAATATTTAGTGGAAGTTTGTTTTCCGTCAGTGCTTGAAGTCCTCAACGCTTGATTTTTAGGTGATCTGTGTACATTTGTACATTGTGGGGGCCAAAATTACTCCAAAAGACATTTAATGAATCAAAAATTGAATGCTAAAGCATAAAGTTTGTTCAGCACTATGTAGAAGTCCTGCTTCCTTCTTTCCTTCACTTTAATGTGGGAAAGAAGAGAGAAAAAAGTCTTACCGCGAATATATGTAACGACACCTCATATATTCGCTTCAAATATATGAAGTCTCGTTTCTCTAGCACGATAACTTTACTTGTATCTCTTTGCCAACCAGTACAGATCTAGCCAGTTAGATCTAGCATCCTTTTATTGAAACCAGTTCCTTTTTCTAAAATAGAAAAAAGTGGTACCACACATGCTCCATTATTAGTATTTATTTTGTAAGAACAAGATAGTTCTATTTACCTCAATATATCAATGATATAAATATTTATAATCACGTCGAAAGCCAAAGCACAGTGCATTTTGAAAGCTAAAGTGGTAAGTATTAGAACGGAACAATCACTTTTTTCGTATTGGTGCTTGTCATATATGTCACTTTTTGGGGTCAAACAGTGATGGGTTAAACCAAGTTTTTTCCAGTGACTTGGCGCAATGTTTTGATTTGAATCCTTATAGAATTTTATTCCACATTCTGGTAAGAAGTTGGCAACTATGATATTCAATTAGGGATTTTTACAAGTCTTAATTTAACCCTTTAACACCCAGTCCAAGCTTTATATGTTAACCCAATATATGTATGGAGGTAATATATTAATTTTAAAACAAGTTTAAACTGAGTAAAAATTTTCTTCTCTAAAAGCTACCATTTTAATATTAAAAATATCAATTACAAACATAAAATTAGATCTTGAATTAAATAATGAAGGAGCAGATAGCCCTTTGGGCTAAGTACTCCGGGTACAAAGCTTTAATCTTAAATTTAATGAAGTACTCTAGTGCGTATGGATCATCATTAATTTCTTAGAATATTATTTACATCAAAATAACTTTCACTAATAAACACTTTTCAGGTTTTGAGTTATTTATACAAGAAAAAACAAGTACTTTCAATTTGCATCAGATCTTTCTAGGATTAAAAAAAAAGTCCAAGTATTTTCAAACGTCCAAATATTGCCAAAAGCCTATTAATAGGTTTTTGGCAATATTGAGGAAAAAGTGCAAATTCTCACTGTATTACTCCAATTCCTTCAAATGTAACAAAATTTATTATCCTCTTTTTTTATTCCTTTTTTTTTACTCCTTTTAAGACCTGATGCAATTTGAAAGTATGTATTTTTTCTTGTATAAATAGCTTTATATTATTTATATAGTATTATAGCTCATTATTGCCAGAAAAAGCATGAAAATTGGTCGTTATGACATTTGAAACAAGAAACAATGAGTACTTACTTAAATTTCTCAATGCTCCCAAACCAAGTGAGAGGACACAAAATGGTCCCCAAAATAATTATCCAGGTTTTGTATCCCAAGGAGAAATATTCTTCACACATAGACTGACCAACTTGTGCCGATACAAGAAGATACACAACCGAAACTCCGACAGCAGTTGTGTGCAAAGTTCCGGTAACTACATATCTATCAACGAAAGAACAAAAGGAAAAGAAAAATCATTTTTAGACAAGAGATATATCGTGAAATACCGATATTTATAGAGTCGTGATAACTGTGTAATAAGATATCTCCAAATCCTGAATACAATGTTTTAATATCAAATGCACGATAATTAAAAGCTACGATAATATCACGATAATTAACAACAAAAATATCGTGATTGTTGATTCTTTTAATTACAGATATCTTATTTTTTATAATTTTAACTTAGTTTGTCATTGATTAAAATATTCTTTTAAGCTTTAACCTTCAACGCCCGATGATGAGACCAAGAAAACAGTAATCATTTTGTTTTGGTGAATAGGTTACATCAGTGTTTCCCAAAGTGTGGTACGCATACCCCCAGGGGTACGGGAGCTGTTCAGCTGGGGTACGCGTTTTTATGCAACATATCTTGCAACAAACGAAAATTTCACAAAATTTTATTTAAAACCAAAGCTAGCCATGAAAATTTACGTTAATGTATTTTTCTATTGACTATTTTTTGCAGAGTTAACAGTTAATAATTAAGGGTATCAACAGCCAGTTGTGATTTTTAACTTTTGGCAATTTGTTTACAATAAAAAATACATTCATTTCGTATTAGTGGCACACAGCGTTACGAAAAATTTAGTAAGGGTACACAACAGTCAAAAGTTTGGGAAACAATGGTTTACATGAATACAGGATGTTTCGTTGCCACTCCCCCTAAAATCCTCGTCAAATAAAAAAATATAGAGTCGCAAATTAATATTTAAAAGAAGAAAAAATAAATACACCAATCGGAATCTAGCAAGTTACTACAAAGGTGGTCTGGACTGCAAACATCTAAACTCATTTGATTGCCTGATAAAACTACAGATGTTTCTATATAGTTTTCGCATTTCAACTCTTCTTAGATCTCCGGCAATCTAACAGGCTTTAAGGTTTTCAGAACCTGCTTTCTCAGTATAGATTCGTTAAATTTCGATTCCCTTTTTTTTTCACACTTAAATGTAAATTTATAAACCCTTTTATAACATTATTTTATAACTGGCATTTACCAAATTTAAAAAATTTTCGCGTATATTAGAAAAACTAAACACTTAAGCTTAGACTTAAAGAACACGAAAGATATGCCCAAAATTAGGAGATTAACCGATCTTCCATAGCTCTACATACACTATCTGGCCATTAATGACCGGACACCCCTCATTTCGGATACAAGAGGTGCTAGTATCAAGTCAGTAGGGCGTAGGGCCGCCACGCGCCCGAATCACAGCTTTAACCCTTCTAGGTATGCTATCCACTAGGTGTTGGTACACGGAAGCAGGTATTGCCCGCCATTCCTCCTGTAACATGGCGAAGAGTTAAGTGGTGGTTTTGGGGCGTTGTGGTCTGGCCCTCAACAGGCGCTCCAACTCATCCCAGAGATGCTCAATTGGATTGATGTTGGGACTTTGGGATGGCCAGTCAAGTTCTTGCACCCCCATTTCATCAAACCAGTCCGTGATGGCATGTGCTTTATGAATGGCAGCGTTATCGTGTTGAAACACAAACGGGCCATTACCGAACTGTTGCAACAGGGTGGGAAGCGCCGAATTGTCCAGGATGTCTCTATACCCTTCTGCGTTCAGGGTTCCACGCACTAACACCAAGGCTCCAAGGCCAAACCATGAGAAACAGGACCAAACCATAATTCCTCCACCGCCGAACTTCACAATGGGGACAATGCACTCCGGTAGGTACCATTTTCCGGGCATTCGCCAGGTCCACACTCGTCCATCAGAGTGCCACAACATGTAGCGTGACTCATCACTCCACATAACGCTTTTCCATTGCTCTACTGTCCACTGGCGACGTGCTCTGCACCACTGAAATCGGTGGCGGGCGTTTGATGGAGAGATGTTTGGCTTATGTGCTGCTGCTCGTCCATGGAATCCTTGTGCAATCAGCTCCCGACGAATGGTACGTGTACTGGCAACACTGCCAGATGCAGCCCGGAAGTTGGTAGCGACAGTGTCCAACGACATTTGTCGGTTTGCCTTCACTACACGTCGAAGAGATCGTCGATCCCTGTCGGACATTATTTTGGGCTTGCCGGGTCGGGACTGCGGTTTTATCACTCCCTCTCGTTCCCATTTCAACACGACGTCACCAACTGTTGACTGTGGTACCTGAAACTTGTCGGAGATGGCACGTATGGAATGACCAAATCGGTGGGCGCCTATGATCATGCCCCTTTCCACCTCATTCAGCTCTCGCCGTCCACTCATTTTCACTGTTAACGCTCGTATGGCCGTCGCCTGCTTGCGAATGGTCTTTCCCCCACCACAGGTTCCGTATTTATTCCGCCAGGACGAGTCCACCTGCCGTTCAAGGGGTGTCCGGTCATTAATGGCTAGATAGTGTTGTTGGAATTCTAATTACGAGTTTGAGTTTTCTTTTGAGAAAATCATTCAGCACTGCTTTTCGTCTACCGAACTTAATTTTTTTGGAGTCATTCCATATTTCAAAATATTCGAATAATTTAGTTAAGGATTTTTCTAGTACTCCACCGTTTCTCAATATTTAGTAGTCTATTCTAATTTAATCTGTTGCAACTTGGGGCTCCCGCTAAACTTCCTCCTACCAAATTTCCAAATTTTTGTCCCTATTGGTTAAACCACTTTACTTTGCACGTTTTTGTCTCTTTTGTCTGTCTCTATCATCATTTGGTGTTTAGACATTGAGGAAGAGGTGCTTGTTTGTAGAACCGAAACTCTGTATCTCCATGTATGTGCTTTCTTTTGTGCTTTATTCGTGTTTTTCTTTTTTCTTTCTTTCTTTTTTTGCTTTGGCTTACAAGTAGTATCAGCGATCATACAAAAGTTTAAAAAGTGCTTTATTTTATAAGATCTTGCAAACCATTTTTTACTACAATACTTCAAGTTTCAGCTCAGAGAATAAAGCGTTTACCTTTTAATGAGGTTCCACCGATTCCAAGCGCGATAATGAGGTTCTAGATTCGAATTTCAGGGATGGCTGATGGATTCCAATTCTACTCCCGACTGGCACTGACCACAGCACTAATATAAATTATCCCCAGTGGTTCCTGGATTAGTATCCCCTGGCCATCGGGGTAACCATGAGAGTTTTTTGTGATTTTTTTTCTTTCATATAGTTAGTTATAACAAAAGGTCTTTCACAAAAACTAGTTTATTTCAATGCTTGATCCAAGATTTTCACTAGGTCAGGTTTCAAAATCGTAAACCGAAAAATGGATAGGCTGTTTAACGCCGATTATAGAATAAAATAAAATTGCTTACGTTCAATGTTCCATGTAACAACTGTTCAATGTGAGCACTCTTCGTCCCAAGGGTAATCCATATGTTTAATTCATATTCTATTGAAGGTATGGATGGATCTGAACAACCATTGGAATGTGAAGCTAAATTGGTTAAGTTTTCTCAAGAGAATTGAAAAGGATATATGGCTTTCACTTGAGCATTACCAAGAACACACCCGTAACTTTTTAACAACTATTTATATTTCTTTTAAACTATAAATCTTTTGTGTGGTAGATATAAATAATTTAAAACATCAGACGTTTTTCTCTAATTTGATACTTATTCAAACTGTAACAACTGATATTGAGCATTTGGTCGTGCACCAGGAACTTCGTGCTAAATCCCCACGACTCACCGCCGCTCAAAGTATTGTAGTTGGGATTTTTGAATTGGTTCAAAACCATAGTTCCAATTAAGGAAGTTTCGCATTTTTATTGAACATATACTTTACCGTAGTGTTCGCAATGTGATACTTTTCAGTAACGTTTCAGGATTCAAATGTTTATATGGTTCAAATGCTTATATGGTGCATTCATAGGTAAAATTTCAATGCAAAAGCATTTTAATCAATTGATCATGTTCTTCATGATCAATTGATTAAAACCTTGTGACCTTGATATGCCAATTTTCTTCACAAGAAGTATAATGTATTTTGCACTTTAAAATTTACCTCATCCAGGCTCCAGCGGCCCTCATTCCAATGGCTGGATATGGATAACGGAATTTTCCTCTGTATTCTTCCCATTGCCTTTCCATGATGAGCCATGTTTCACCCAGTATTATGGAACTGTAGCAACTATTTAAACTCGCCAATGCTATCAATACGATGCCAAACCATCCTGAAATATAAGGTATCTTAAAATTCGCACAAGAAGTAATTTTGATAGAAAACATAGATACTTAAATAAAATTTGTAATTTATTTATATATTGTCAGTAGTCAATATTTTCAATGAATGTTGCTCGTTCAAGGCGTGGATGTTGTTAAGGACTTAATGGCAAAAACCCGAAACTTTCCGGAAAGAAAAGTCTTACGGTGTTAAATTGCACGATGTGGGAGGCTAGTTCTGATCATCTAAACCGGAATGATTGATTGATTTGTTCATTTACGTCGCACTAGAGCTGCACAATGGGCTATTGGCGACGGTCTATCTAAACCGGAAAGTACATGGGCAAGGAATATTCATATTGCTCTAAATATAACAATAAAAACGCATTGTTCTTTCGAATAGTGCTCAAACCTTGAACTGTCAATTATCCCAGTCTCACGGTCTTATTTGACTCGTTGGAATTATTTTACGGTAGAAATGGTGCAGAATTCAAATCTTGCATGAATTTTTGGACATGCTTGCGTCAAAAATGTTTATTTTAATTAATATGGCCAAATTGTAACATGGTTTTCTTTCAGTTTTAAAAGGAAAAAAATTCTTCCAGGTTGTGCAAGAAAATTTTTACAAAACTCAAGACTGTGTTTATGTGACTGACTGTGTTTTTTTTCTGAATTATGTGACTTTAAGTAAAATAAATGTAACAAGATTACAGATTAATGTGCACAAGAACAAATTAAATTATTCAGACACGTTGGCGGGGGCAAAGTGAGCCTTTAGCCGAACCAGTAGAGTTTATTCCAACAAACAGAAAGTAGAAGGGAGGGAAAGAAGTCGAAGAGAAAGAGAAACGAAGAATCAGGGGAAAGTGAATATAAAATATATTTGGCAAATTGTTGAAAATGAATGAATAAAAAATCTAACTTATTCAAAGAGTTTTCCATTGTAGTGAGCAAAAGAATCGGAATAATTTGCCAGTGTGGAATTCTCGCCAAAAGAAATATGTTCATATTTCCCGCACTTTAAGTTTCCTCACCTATTAAAAGTGAACTCTTCCACTGTGCTTTTCCGCCACCCAACTTGTTTTGGTTTAATAATAACAGATATGATGTTATTATTTGTTTCAAACTTGATTGGTTATAAATTGATACCGCAAATTTTGAGATTGGCCATTTTCCAGCTTTGGAATTTACAATATTTCTTGACTTTTTTGATCAAATATTTTGAAAGTTCCTCGAGGGCCATTATGTACTTGATTGGACACCAGAGGGTATATTATTAGAACATGAAAACTTAAGATATTGTTTCAACAAATAAATGCTACTACCCCAAGTAGCACAGGGATACTGCAACAGCTTTAGTCTACATCGACCGACATTGTCAATATTGTCGAAAATCGACATTGTGTGTACGATGTTGTACGATTCCCTTCGATTTCACATTAAAAGTTCTGTTTGTAAAACTTTTCATTTTAAACTTTATTGAACTTAAACTTAAATCAAAATTAATCATTTAAAAGACAAAAAATGACGTCAAATTGTTATAATTCCAAAAAATAAATTTAAAATATAAATTTAGAGATATCCGAAATGCTGAGAGATATCAATCGACGTTCCCCAACGTTTTTACAATATCGAACAATATTGTTTCGCGATATTGAATATACGTTATAGAAGGGGTCCATTTTTATATAGTACAATGTTTCGCTACGATATTGTACAATGTTCAAAGCTAAGTTTTGACGATATCGTTTTTGTGAATTGTGCTACTTGGGTAATGAAGAATTAGTGTTAACACTTTTTGCGTTTTTGTAAATCAAATTAAACTTTTAAAGGGGACTAGGCACAAATGTGTCCATAATAATACGTAAGCATTTTGAGATAGCGATAGCACATAACTTTTTTAAACCTTTCATTACATCTAATACAATGAATAACAATGGAGAATAGTTTTAATTGTCTTAACTCGAGTAAAATGTAAACTTACCTGTTCCCGCTAAAGCATGTGGCAAGGCCAGAAGTCCAAGACCAGCATTAAATGAAATCATGAAAACCGCTGCTGTCCATAATGAATATCCTTTCTCAGATGAAATATCTTTATCAACTTTTTCTAACGCAATCACTTCTTTAATTTTTTCAGAGGTCATCATAAATTTTTTTTCGATTCCTGAAAAATGTATAGCTTCTAAAAAATATTAAAATGACTCAAGTAAATTTTTTTCTGTTATTAACAGACAAGCAAATTCATTATTTTTTAATTTTTTTTTGCTTGCATATACTTTTTGTGTATAAATTAGGAAATGTTTTTGTATGTTAAGCACTAGAAATCAACAAACACTCTTTTCGAATATTTTTAGTAAAAAGAACATCTCTTAGATATGAAGTTATAAAATGAGAAAGAACAAATTTCCTATGCATATGAAATTACAACATATTTAAGATACCGTCATCATAAAATATATGACTTCTACTGAAGATGCTTTTATAGCTGTTGTTAGAGAAATGATAAAAAAATAAACTTTTTTCTATAAATACTATAGATAAACTACTTTCATGAAAAACATATTCGACGTTAAAATAAAAGTCTCGTTATGTATTAATAATGCGTTAAAAAACAGAGTACTCTATTTTAGTTCCACAAATTTTAAACACTAATAAATGATTTTTAAACAAGAATATTCATCTAGTTTGTAGACATACATCTAATAGATTTTACTTGAGAAAAAATTGTCTTTACATTATTTTAGGATAGTTCATTGTTACGGTATTTCATTTTTAGTTAGTTTTGGTTTTTTTTATTTAAGAATTTCGATTTACTAATCAACTAAATAGGCGCCAAAGTTCCCATTTTAATTATTTTTATTTTATTTTTTGGTAGTTCATGTTACCGTATTTCGTTTTTGGATAGTTTTAAATTTATTCATTTGAGAGTTTCGATTTACTAATTAACTAAAGAGGCGCCATGTTCTCATTTTAATTATTTTTACTTAATTTTTTGGTAGTTCATGCTACCGTATTTCGTTTTTGGATAGTTTTAAATTTATTCATTTGAGTAATTTGATTTACTAATGAACTAATTGGGCTCCAATGTTCCCATTTTTATATACTTAAAATAATCATGAAATACACTTTTTTTTTTTTATCAAAGATTTCCCCCTATGGTATTGAAATTTTTCTAGCAACACTTAAATGGCTTATTGAGAAACTGTGTTCAATCACTAAAATATATTGTAAAAAAAAATCCGAAAGCGGAATTTACGGAATGAATCTGCAGCACTGTCCTTCATAAATCGAAATTCGTCACACAAAATAATTGTAATATTTGTATAATGTACCGAGCAAAATTTGAAAATATAGGTTCCTTAAAAATTATGTATAAAAACTTCATGTTGTTTAAATTCAAGTTGAGTTTTATCAAATAATACTAAATGGAAAAAATCTCTATACAGTTAAACCTGAAAAATAGAAAGAAAAAAAAATAATTTCTGTTCTTTGCTTTTCTCAGCTCCGCTGTTTTTTAAAATTTTTATTTGAAACAAATTTAAAGATGGTAATAATCTGAGTTTCGCTGCAGTCTTAGAGGATTTTTACCGCCGTGTATAGTATAAAGATATGCCTCAGTGAAAATGACACAAATTGTCTTTGGTATTTCCAAATATCCGATATGATAAATACATTTTATTGAGGATTACTTATTCATTTTTCCTGACTTGTGGGTGGTACAGTTAAAAATATATACATAGAAAACAAACCCAAAATAGTCTTGAAATAAACATTTACGCTTTTCACAGAAGATTCATCCCTGTAGAAGAAAATATTTTCCAGTAATTGTGAAACAATGATAAGTCACCGTGAGATATCGCATTATAGCCATGTCTCACAATTAAAGCCGTCGCAAAATTGGATCCAATGGGCTGATCACGAAATTTTGGTCTTTAACCTCCATGACAAACCTGGCTTGCAATTGGCTGTTGCTTAAAAAACTATTCGTTCCGACTATTAACACTTATGAGTGTATTTTTAGTATTATTTCATTTCTAATGTTAGTTTATAGATTATATTTTTTTACCGTATATGTTAAAAACATTGATAAGTTGTGGTAGCCATAGATATTTTACTTTTGAAATGAAAGTAGAAATGAAAAATTTTTACTATCAGCATTTTATATTTTCTGAAACGCAACAGCTCTATATAAAATAGTACTCCAAGTTCAATGCACATAAACTGTGTTTTTATTCATTTATTATTATTTTTAATAATAAATTAATAAAAACATAGAAACGAAATAGATTTGAAAAATTCGTGGTTAAATTAGAGTAACTTTAACACTAAAAAGACGGATGGGAGCATTTTGGTCTCTTTCATTTTTTATTGCTCTGAAATTCAAAAATCAGCTTACTGAAGTATTTTTATTTTATAACCGTCGTTGAACAGTCGACGGGTTTACGACTACTAATGTTCAACTCCGTAGCTTTGCAACTTTGAACCTAATCCAGAAGACGATGGAGCTCCTGTATCAAGTATTGGGAGAAATTTGCCTTCGTTGGAGGACTTCTTGATGGAACTAACCTGCACTTGCGTTGCATGGAGACGAAAACCTCCTACAGTTAGCCTGACGGCAAGAGGACTCTAAATCATCATCCGTCTACTGCTGAGGATATTTTACGTCAGAACTGTGGTCGGTGCGAGCCGTGTGCGGAATTCGAATCGACCAGCTATTGCTGGGATCGAATCCGGTTCACCTCATTGGGGGGCGAGCGCTCTGCTTCCTGAGCCACCACGGCTCTTCACTGTAGTATTGAGTATTTCTGACTTTTCATAATTAGACCCCATTTAAGTACAAATTTAAGCATCATGTATTAGTCTTATAGAAACGTACTGTGCCCTCAAAAAAAGAAAAAAAAAACAGACTAGTCTAAGTAACATTTGATTTTCAGGTTTTAAGACTCCGTTTAATGGTTTTCGAAGGGGTGACCCAAATATGCTAATCAGTTAGTGCAGAGGATATTTTAAGTTACGAAATCAGACACAAAAGTGCACTTTCTCTGAATTAACAAACCTTTATTTCGATGGATTTGGTTTTCTAACTCCAAAAATATAGAGGGTAGGCCAATCTAGGAAATATGGTCCCAATAGTTTGGGCTGGAGAGCCTACCAAAGTTTTGACCCCTTAATGTTAATTTTTTCCACGATTCACTTTGCCTCGAGAACTTTTAAAGCGAATTGAAAAATTCTTGCACACACTTATAAAAATCGTTTATCCGAAGATAATTCGATGCAAAAATTAAAATTTATTATATATTTATTATTTTATTTAATAACAGTCGAAACAAATTTTACGTCTTGCAACTACAGCTGTCTTGTTACTACAAATTTTAAATCTTGTAAGGTACACAATTTTTTTAAATCACTTTAAAATAAGTAATTTTACATGACAAAATATAAAATTTGAGCGAAATCGGTTGAGTAGTTCTTGAGAAACTTAATTTTAAATAACCGATTTCTATAAATTCTCCGCTCTCCAGGCCAAGCTATTGGGACCGTATTTCCCAGATTGCTGCTACCCCATATATTTTGGAGGTCAAAATCCCGAAGGAAAAAAAAAGGATGTTTATTCAGAGAAAGTGCGTTTTTGTGTCTGATTTCGTAAATTAAAATATCGTTTGCACTAATCACATTAGAGGTCACCCCCTAGAATCATTAAGATCGAGTCCCAGAAAGTGAAGATCCGATCATTAGATTAAAAGTTATTCAGGGCGGTCCGTTTTTACTTTGCGCACTGTGCATAGAATAACCAGAGCGGCCGCCCTTTAGTATTTTGGTAGGTACTCCATAACCCCAGGCAGGTTTGGGTATAAGGTAACTTTTACTAGGTATATAAGGTACCCCGGTTTCACTGAAAAAACAAAACAAAAACAAGATTATAATTAACTGCATTAAATTATTATTTATAGAGAAAAGGAAACTGAATTATTTCTGAAACTAGATATAATTAAAAAGTCAACGTTCCTTTTAATTAAATATTTTAGCTCATAAAATACTATAGAATTTTGATGATCGAGTCTCTAATATATTCCTTACTAAATAAATCATGAATATATTTTAAAATTTTGAATGTCTAATAGAACGCAAACAATCTGGGAAGGACCAGACTTTCTAGGTATACAACAATCTTCAGTCTTTTTAGTGTTCGCAAAATAAATCGCCCGGCTTAAAACATTAAAGACTTTTAAAACTGCAACCAACATTCAAACTCTTTTGAAATTAGTAATAATAATAAACATTTTTTCATTAAGGTTTTACACTAACAAGACGACTATTAATAAATCGCCAAGGACGAGAAAATTCCTTGATGATAATCTTACACTCACGCTTCTAAAATGCAAATAAAAAGTAGGGCAATATCAAATCAAACCAAGCAAATACGGTTTTATCATTACTACAGCTGCTCTGTATTCGATGACCTTATGTGACAGACAGTGTTTATGGCCTTGATTCAAGCCAGATGTTACAATTTATGTTTATTATTAATTTTGTAAATAAGACTATTTAACACAATTATGACCTTGTAAGAAATATTTTCTCCCTTCTAACATTTCTATTAAATTATACAGAGTTGCAATGTCAACCCGGAAGTTCTAGCTCTTCACAAAATTCAGAGCGCGGCAGTGAAATAACAATTACGTGAACGTTTATTTTTAAGAATTTGCAGGCGATTCATACTCATGTGGCACCATAAACTAGGGTTTTTCTCTATCGATTGGCAACACTATAGTTATAATTTATTTTGTTGGGTTGTCTTAAGTAATAACTTAAATCGTGTAAAAAATTAGTTATACGTTATGTATTTATTTAGAGTAATTTGTTTTATCTGAACTAGTAATTTAAGTAGTGTTAACAAGTTATAAATATATAGATAATATTTCTAAATAAATACGTTAAATATTTGTGAAAATTAATTTCACAGAAATAAAAATTTCGTTACGAATTTCGATTTATTTTTGATCTTTTCTAAAACGGCTGAAATTTTTTTACATATTAACGGTGCAATAGTGCATATTGTCATACCAATTATTAGAGACGGATCTTGCTTTTTTTTGAGAGATAGCATTCATATATATTGTATAATACTCAAGTTATGGATCGAGAGGTGCGTGAAGAAGTAGCACAGCAAGTAATAGAGCATTGGAATGAGTTTTTTTTTAATCGTAAATCTCATGGCAGATATGGAAATAACTTTAATAATTCTGCCGGGTGGATCCTAGAATAGCCCAACCCGTGGCGGCATTTCTTAAATCTCGCCAAACTAGGTTTCCCGGAGATATTTCCAGGAGATTATATTTTGAACTTCCGATCACAACACGAAAATTCTTAAACCTGATTGGTTATTTGATATGTATGCATACGCGAAAGTTGGATTTCGTTAGAAAAGATGTAAAGGGGTTTATTTTTTCATTATTAAAAATATTTTAATAAATTTGTAATAATTTAAATTGTTTTTTTGTTGTTAATAATCAAAAGCAACGTTGATCCTAGTAATAATCGCCAATCTGGTGATGTTTGAAAAAGTCGCCAAGAGGTGGGCTATTCTCGGATTTTACCATTCTGCCTGCTATGCTGAAATCTTCTGAACTCATACTCATTATTACTAAAATTTAAAGTACTTCCGCCAGGGTAACACTTAGATGGTCAAAGAATTAGATTATGCATAAATTTTGAACGTATGAAATCTGCTGCAGCAATTGATGAGAAAAAAAAATCGACGACAAAACTAAGTAGAATACGATAAAATCAAACGAATCGCACTCTTCAAAAAGCGGTTACTCAAATGCGTGTTTCCAGATTCAAGTGATGAAATTATTAACATATCGTTTCAAAAATAGCGGGATTTAAAACAAACCATCGATCATTACTAATAACTGAAAAAAAATCGATCGAATCATGGCGTCCAAGAGTGATTACTCAAAAGCATGATTTAAATTACCGTATCGTACAAAATATATCGGAATCTTAGAAAAAAAAAGTGAAAATCAATAGCAATAACCGTCAAAAAAAGAAATTGAAACACTCCATGGATTTAAGATATCAACGCAAATCGAGTGCGTCAAGTGAATCGAATTTCATGAATCATAATATCATGTATAAATTATCGCGATTTTTGAAGGAAAAAAAAAAAAACAAGTGGAAATCAGTAGCAATAACTGCCGAAAAAACGATGTATTCGTCCCGCGAATAATCAAATGCACGATTCAAACTTTGTGTGTCGTAATATGGTTTAAAAAAAATAGGAAATCAGTCGCAATAGTCGATCGAGACACGGTAGATTTACAATGGTATCGGCTGAAACAAGCATAACATGAAATAATCACTCAAATGCGCAATTCGAATTTTACGCATCATAATTTAAGATTCATGAGAATTTTAATAGCTGTTATTGACGAAAAACTACATGGATTTATTTATAAGGGAATAAATTGTAATAGCACATTTGCAGGGATGACAACTGCTCCGCTTTTAGCAAATGGTTTTATTAAGTGGTAGAGAGTTTGAAACTAAAACTTTGGAACACCACGATATTATTCAAACAAAGTGAAATGTTACATGAATAGTTGAATTACTTAATACAGTGATGTTTAACATAACCTTAAATAAAATCTACTAACTTAAGAATCAATATATATATTTCTATTACCAGAATAACTGTTTCTGCAAAGCGAAGGAAGTTTGCATCTCTGGATTTAAAGTTTCGAAGTTGTAATATCATTAAAAATATTGATTCGACTTTATTTCTGCCAAATAAAAAAAGATCAAATATGCAGCATAGAAAAAATATTCTTGGTAAAAATTGAAATTTGCAATTATATTCTCACTCGAAGGTTAAAAAATTTATTTATCGCCTCATATTTTAATAAAACATAAGTTTTAAAAAAACTAAGAAAAAAAACGCCATTTCTAGATAGAAATATCTTTTAAATGTTCGCGATTTCGAAATTACTAATTTCAAAAATTAGTTCACAGCAATAGAATAATTCTAGTCGAAGCCAGTCCGTTCGCTAAAAGAAAAACTCGCTATAGCACGTGGTCGCGAACTTAAGCAGGAAAAAAAAACTTAGTTGCTAGTAAGGGAGAAATAAATGTCTTGTTAAAGAGACTTTATGAAAATTAAATTTAGGATTAATGGAAGAATAAGAATTTACATTTTTCTAAATTCTTAAAAATTGATAATTAATTAGAATTTTAATTTTTGATACGCAGAATCTCACGAATTCGCAGAAAAACTACTAAGCTGTATAATAAATAAAGGATACATATACATACATTAGTTGAATCAATGAACTTCTTAGATAAAATTTGCTAAATAAACATGTAATTACATACCAATTTCAAAGCATGCGTCATCAATCCTTCAAGTTGGGAGTTCAGAACAAAATATGGAAATAAATTTATAAATGTGTGAATACAGGATGTTTGGTAATGGCTGACCTAGACACTTATTTTTAAAATCTTTAAAAATATACATCGGTGATTGAACATTATTGAAGAGAAAAAAAGTATTGAGAAAGGTAAAATTGAAAAGTTATTTTATTTCTGATGGAAAAAAGATGAAAGGATGAACACCTCAGTTTCATCAGGCAATTAAACTGGTTTCTTTTCCACCCCACGCAATAGTGATTTATTTACGTCGCACTACAGCTTCACAATGTACTATTTTAATTGCGATCCAGGAAACATCACTGAGGATGATTCAAAGACATGCTTTCAAAAATCACTAAGCAGAGGAGGTGGCTCCCACCTGAGTATGAAATCTGTCACTTTATGAAAGAACAGTTTAATGAGAATTGATACTGCGCACCTCCTGTTCCTTCACAGGCTTATCAGATCACCCACTCATTGTCTTGACAGCTGCCAGTGGTGCCTGACTTTGGTATTTTACTGGGAACCATGTCTTTATGATCAGTCCACCGTGGGACTCATCACAGTTTTTATTCTTATTCTAAGTTCTCATATTTTGATTTGCTTACTTCAAATCGTGTACAGAGTGCATAGCTAAATCTTTCAACAAAAAATAAGCACCTTTTAAGCACTATGTACATTAACAAAATAATTTTCTAAGATTTTATATGATCATGATAAAATAACTAGTTTCTGACAAAGAACTCTTTTCTTGATTATACTAGCCACCATAAAAAGATCGAGAGATTTTTCGGTTCGATTTCAGAGGGTAGAAAATGAAGCCTGTAATTAATATCTTGGAAAATACAGAACTCTTTTCTTGATTATACTAGCCACCATAAAAAGATCGAGAGATTTTTCGGTTCGATTTCAGAGGGTAGAAAATGAAGCCTGTAATTAATATCTTGGAAAATACATCATAATGAGAGTGCATGAATACCGCCGAACCGAGCTCAGTATACACACACGCATACCCGTAAGTATATCATGAAAAATGATTGGCCCTTTCATACGTTTTTGACCGATGGCACGCTGAAATGCATTGTGTTTGAATGAATTGTGAAAACATTAAGAGAACAACATGAAAACCACGCTTTTCTATAACGCAAGACGAAATTCGACATAGCAAAGAAAAAAAATCTCATCTTCAAAAAAGTAAAATAAAGCACTTTCCAAAAACACGCAATAAAAAAAGCACCTTTTAGAGCTTTTAAAAACCGAAAATAAGCACCTTTAAGCACTTTTTAAAAACGCTACGCACCATGGTGTTCTATAAAGTGACACAATGTCAATAAACAATCAATAATAAGTAACATTTAAAGCAGTTTTATTTAAAGTCATAAAAAAACTAAATTTTCATGAATATGAAGTACCTGTTACACAATCACATTTGTGGTTTCATTTCAATTGGACGAAACATCAGGGCATTTACGATTCATATTAGTAAAAAGTATTGCACAGTAAGACACATGGTTAGATCACAAAAAAAGATATTAAAACAGAAGATTATATTTCTATCATTAATTTATATCTATATGTAATAGCACTAAGAAAAGTAGATTTAAAAATGGTTTAAAGAATATTTTTTTCAGAGAATCATAGTTCGTAACATAAATTAAGAAACATGGCACTTAAAAATGCTCAGCTGGCATAAAAAATAACAAAGAATGAAAGTAACAACAAATGATATGCAACATATTAATAATAATGATAATAATAAAAGCAACAACGTTTGCTTTATAAACTGTAAATGCTTATACAAAGGTATATGTAAGATACTATTTCGAAGCTAAAGCAATTTATTAAAATAATTTTTGTTAAAATATTGTTTGGGCTTTAAGGATATTAAACAAAATATTCATACTCTCTCACAATATATATATTTATACACCTGCCATATCAATGATTATAGTAAGATAGTATTTCAGAAAGCATACTTGAATATTTATTTAATACTTCAAAAAAATTTTTAAATTTATTTTTATATTTATAAAAAATAGAAATCCTATTTTTTATGGGTTACATATTTAACTAGGGTGTTAGTCAAGAGGCAACAAACCTCCCAAATTCAAAGGCACAATTTCTCTAACTTCTGTATTCTAATTAAGGTAAAGCTGTCTCATGTTGTTTATGTTTTCAAAGTATATAAAACTTGATACAGCTATTTAAGGATATTTTTATTAATCCACATTTTTGGAATACAAAATTTGCTAAAAAAATTAAAATGTTGTTAAAAATGGGAGGAATTAAAAAATTAGTAATATTTAAACAGCAAATTTCTAAAAATTCGCAGTACTAAAAACAGTTCCTTATCTTCTAAGAAACAAACCAACACAAGAAAAAGTACACGATCCATGCGTCGTGCTATCATTTCTAGCAAAATTTAAAGATCAAAAAAATTATTTGAAGACAGAATTTCTAAAATTATGCTACAATAAAGTGGCCAAGAAAAAAAAAAAAAAAACTTAAAAGTATACAGTAGCACATTTTGAAAATTTAAAATTAAAAGATTGTAAAAGTAATTACATATAAAAACTAACAATATTTAAAGACTGAACTTTTAAAAATATGTAGCACTAATAAAACAAACTTTCAAAAGCATAAAACTGTGCATTTCACAACTTCTAGCATACGTGAATGTAATATAACTATGGCAGGTGAGTAAAACGATTTACTATGTTTTCAGTCTTAAAAATACACAGCATTTCAATTGAATTGCTAGTTTGCAAAAGGCCAACATGGCAAGCGAAGTATTTTTCAGAAATTTATTAATTATTACTTCATAAAAAAGCTAGCAATTATTTCTGAAATATTTTCCTTTTCTACAATACACACCATAATCAGTTAAAAGACACTCTCTCAAAAACAAATCTTAATCCCTGAAAAATAGAAATGCAAAAACTTTATTATAAAATATAGCACCATTATCTCTATGGTAACCAGTGAATATACTCTGTTCACAGGAAAAAAAAAATAGAAGTAGACACACAAAATTCAATCCATCTCAATTCGACTAGTTTATTACATCTACTCCACTGTAAGTCTATCTTTCCTAATAGTTTAATCACATTAAGACTCAAAGAGTACAGCTCCCCATTGATAAGAGTCTGATGGTTGGCAACTTGCTAAGTCTTTTTAAGATTGAAAAAAGATATGAAAAAAACTTAACAAATTGCCATCCAAGCTCTTCAAGTAGGTAAACTACATAAACTGAATGATATATTTCTTTAAAGACCATTGTAAATGTAAATATAGCATACAATACAATCAGCACTTCAAAATGTATCTGTTAGAATTAGATTTTCAAAAATACAATTTTTTGTAGGCGAATACAAACCTTTAAATATATTAACAACACATACTTATTTAACAAGTGCATTTTTGACAATATAATTTCCAGTTCTCAATATGAAACAACAACATGATATTAAAAACCCTATACAATAAAAGTTTTTTTTTAATCATAGCGTGACCATTGGCCAAGCCTCCAAAAACTTGAACAGCCTCCCCCTTCCCTTCTTACAAATATATATGAATTACATGAAAATATAACTGACTATACAAGGCATAATTTTTGATGAGGTTCAACTGGAAGCATGTATTCCTTTTAATGTCAAATGCTGTACAGAGGTATAATAAGATTTTCAAGGAGAGCCGTATCCTTGGTAATCATCCGGAGATCTGTTGCCATACTTGGCTTTCCTGAGAGCAGCAAGCTTCTCGTGGGCTTCCTGAAGCTCTCTTTCTTTTCTTAGAATTTCCTCCCGGGCCACAATTTCCTGAGCAATACCCCCGACCATACGTTTGTTGATGATGAGGCTTCGCTCCTCGTCGTGCTCGATAGCTTGTTGAGCAGCAGTTACCAGATTGTCTGTTGCTCGCTTTACTGCATTACCGGCTAGCTGTAAGAGGCAATAATGATACATAAGAGATACTAATAGATAAACAAATTTGGAGTTTATATATATAAAAGAGGATTACTTTAGAAAAGTAAACTACATACATAATAAAATTTTATCCAATGGTAGTGAACTAACAATTCCTTTAAGTAAAAGTTAAAAATCTTAATTTTATAAGCCCTTAACTGCCGAGGGCGTATATATACGTCTCGGAGAGACAGTGCGTTAACTACCGCAGGCGTATATATACGCTTTCCCGAAGTACGATGCTTTGCATTGCGCTGCTATAAATAGAACTACAGCCCCGACTTTTGAATGCAGTAAAATGATCTTGTAAGTGTTTGCAATGAATGTATTACCAATTTTGGAGGAGGGGGAATGGGAAAGGGCTGTGTTGGAAAAGTTATATCATAATATTTATTGCTTGTGTGTTTTTATTTGAGTAAGGTCGGGTTTATCCTTCTTTCGCTTTCGTTTCCCGTGTATATTCGTCGAGAATCCCGCTATCAGTGCAATGAATGCGATGTTGGTTTATGTGTCCAACCATGTTTCAGGATTTATCATACTACAGCTAAGTTTTAACATCTTTTATATTGTATTTTTATTCTTTAAGTTTTGTATTTTCTTTTTTTCCTTTTTCTTCTCTAGCGAAAGTAAATGTTTTTAAATTGCAAAGATTGCATCTTTTTCCCCTACCAAAACACAGCGTAACAAAGTGCACTTGAGCGAAAACGGTGGCACTGGGGAGTGAATCATGTAAATTTTTTATCGGCAGGTAAGGGGTTAATAATATAACTGCCTCACTGTGAAATTATATACATAAGTATGATTGAATTATTTATGTATATATTAGTATTCACCATCATTTAAATTTATTAAACCATGTATTAAATATTGAAACACCAAGAGGGAAAAATCCTGTAAAAAAACGTAAAAGCTATGGTTTAGTGATAAAATATTTATCTAGGCTCAAATTAAAAAGTATTAAAAAAAAGAATATAATTAAGTTGATAGCTACTGAAGATGTAGAAAATCTTCATACAGAGTTAAAAACAATTTAATTCAATGGTAACTGAATTGCTCCAAGCCTTTTATTGAAGTCTTTTTCTTTTAAAGCTTTACAGGCATTGCATTTCTAATAAATACTGATTCAATAATTACAAGCAGTTATACAATGTTGATGAATAATAATATGAATGATTTAAACAATGCCTGGCACAAAACTAGACTTAAGAGAAGAGATTTTCTAAATGGAATATGTTGTTGACTATATTTTCATTACCTACGTTTATAATTAGGAATTATTATTAATTTAGTTTAAAGCATAAGTTAAGAGCATTTTTTGTGAAATTTTAACAGGCAATAGATTTATTTTTAAATTTTTTCATTAAAAAATAAAACAGGAAAAGATATAGACTTACTTGCAAACGCTGCATAGCCTTAGAATCTGGATCTGCTTTCACTTTACATGCAACCAGCAGCTGAGCCGTCGAACTGGCTACCTGTTTGGCCGCTGAAATCAGTTTTTCTTCAGAAGCATGGCCTTGAACTAGAGAGTTGGCAGCCTCAACAAGACTATGGGTAGCAGCAGCAACCAATTTTGCCTAAAAACATTAAGGAATTTTTTCTTTATGTTAAACTGTAATTGCAGCTATAAGTTGTAAAATTGTTCAATAAAAAAAATTCCTATACTAACTTGTAATAAATATTATCGGAAAAAACGTTTGTTTAACCAAACATTATATATTTTCAAATTTTAGGTGGAATTAACAAATAAGCTAACCTTTGACATACTATAAGAGTCAAACATCTTTTTTTAAAGTAAAGATATAATTTAAATTGAGCCAGAATAACACAGTAGTTAAGGCAGTGAGCTGTCATTGAGAAGGAATAGGGTTATAATCATTGGCCGGGACTTAAAGCTTATTAGCTTTAGATCAATGAGTATCAGTTTGTCTGGAAAATAAAGGCACCTGGTGCACAATGTAGTCCTGCACATCCTGCCACTAAAACTACCCCGGCTTACATTAAGCTGCAGCGGGAGTACCTTAGTTTAAAAATGAAACTATTTTAAGGCAAAAATATTAGAAGAAATGTTAAAAAAGTAATATTTTTTTAAAATATTAAATAGAATAGTTAAATTAAACTGGAATTTATAACCAATAAACATTTTGAACCTCAACATAAATTATAATTTGAAACAGAATGTAATTATTTTCATTGATATGTAGTTTAGTTAAGATAAATTGATACAATTAATGAAACATTTTATTAATTATATCTTTAGCTTAGCATAAATATTTATTACTGAAGTAAAATTTTGTGCAATTTTTGACAACCAAATTTAAGAAGTATTTAAAACTAGAATGTAATGTTTTTTATTAATGCCTAGCTTAACACTTAGTACAGAAATTGTATAAATTATAAGAATTTTTAATAACTGAATCAAATTGCTTCAACTAAATATTTACTATTGAGATGAAATAAAATTTTTTTTGTATCTTTTGACAGATTTATCTAAGAAATAATAAACGTTGTAGCATTAACGTAACTTACGGCGGATATTAAACCTTCTGACCATTGTCCATCATCAGTAGAAGAAACAGTGTGGGCTGTAACCTGCACAAAGTTAAAAAAGAACGTTATCTAATGTAATTGCCATAAGAAGATAAAGCTTATAAAACGAGAATTTTTTTTTACAAACTTTAAAAATAATTATATAAGATAATCAGATAAGGCTAATTTTGTTGCATAAGTTAAAAAAATACACAGATTCTCGTAAAGAAAAAAAAAAGGAATATGATAATTTAAAATTTTTAATTTATTCACAATTCAGATGAAAAGACAAATCCACTAAGTTTTTAGATAATAAAAACCAATAGGTAACAACTACTTAGATAAATATAGCAATAAAGAAATGAAAATATGACCACCGAAGCCGACGTCTTCAGGGGGTACCGGCCTCGGAAGCTGTAAAACAAAACCTTTTCTATTGAGAGAGAGGTCAAATTAAATCTCTCTGATAAATACATAAAAAATAAAATATTAGATAAATATATCTAACATTTTATTTAAATTTCCAATTTATTTAAAACTTACTTTTCCTTCTGTGACCAACTCTCTTTGAGCAGCAGAATATATATACAAAATATATATTATATATATTCTGTATTCATATTATTACAGATTAAATTTAAGATTTAATTAAAACTTACTTTTCCTGCTGCAACCAATTCTCTTTGAGCAGCAGAAGCAGCTTTTACAAGAGCAGATGTTGCAGCAGCAATAGACTTGGCAGCTTCCAAAATCAATACATCAAAATTCAAGTCTTCATTAGTTTCCTAAACAGGGATACAAAAAGGGATTAATGTGCTTACCTAACAGAATTTCAATTTTTAAAAAAAAGAATAACATTTAACTTTTAAAACAATTTTCTCTACATAAAAACAACACAGTTATATTTTTATAAATTGCATAAAATAACACTATTTAGTAAATAGTTCAGACACAGGGAAACAGATATAATTGTGCGCATATGATTGAGAAAATAAAATTATAAAAAATAACTCCAAATAAAAAAAATTGTGAAAAAAAACTTCAAATGCGACTGAAGATAACACCTGAACTAGTAGGTATTAATATATTCTCAAATTAGAAGTTAGTTTTTTTTAACTAAAGATAAAAATATTAAGAGATTTTTAAGTGTAAAAAATCATCTTCTACAGGTACTGTGAAAATATTGGTTTTATACACAACTTTTTAAATCAGTTTTGCAGGGACATAAGCTGTCGGGCTACAACCAACTTCAACCATTCTTTTGATTCATGTATAGAGTTTAGACGAATAACACTATTTTTCAGGGGACAACAGCCAGGCTACAAACTGTAATTATTCTTTTGTAGCTTGATTGCTGTTGTAATTATGAAGTTTTGACAAATGACACTATATTTTTCAGAAGACATAAACTGCAATTATTCTTCTGTAGCTTGATTGCTGTTGTATCTATGGAGTTTAGACAAATGACACAATTTTTCAGGAGACATAAACAACCACGATATAACTTCTGATGCAGGATGGTTGCTTTAACTGTTTGGCAAATGACACTTTAAATGACCCGCTTTTCATGTGACCAGGGAAAACCCTAAGCTATTCCTCTTATGACCGGTACCAAGCAAAAAAAGGCGTAACTTACTTTCACCAGGAGAGCTGACTTGCCATAAGTTTGTCCAGAGGAAAGGCCATGTCTGCCATATATGTCTGATTCTTGGTTGAACAAATTGACACAACCAAGAATATCAAACATATCTGACAGCCATGGCTATGTCTTCTACAGCAGAACATTTAAGGGATGCCTAAAGAGAAATAAGAAAGACTAATTCTAATTAGTATTAACTTCTTACATGATGCTTCCTTATACGAGGTTTGAGGTTGGCTAATTTCTTTGCAGCTGCATCAATTGAGTTGGCAGCACCTAGCAGTTCATTCTCTGCAATGATCATAGGGTCATCAGGATCTTCCCAATCAGAACCTAAACAAATGTTAGAGTATATCAATATATTATATTTAATTATTTCATCTCATGATTTTTACAATTTACTATTGTTTGGTACATACCTATTTATGATGTTATCTTTTCAGAAAATGTAAATATGTATATATGCTTATTCTAAAGATTTTACATATTCTTGAATATCTGGAATCATAATTCTGAACTTAGGACACCAGTAGTCCTCATTTTAATAGGCAAGTTTGGTTAAATTTAGAATACAGGTGCCTTATCAAACTTAAGTTTCAAAAAGGTTTTGACTAAGAAGATAGAAATTGGTGAGGTCAGACTTAGAATTACTCCAGTAGTCCTCACTAAAATGTTAATCCTCATCCTAGTTTGCAAGTGAGATTAAATTTAAAATATAAATGCTTAGGCAAAACTGTCAAACTAAGTTTTGACCACAAAAATAACAATTGGTGAGGTTAGATTTGAAAATCACCAAACTTGATGCAAACACAATGATGCTAAGATTAAAAATTTTAACTTGACTGAAGAACAATGAGAAAAATATAATGATGCACATAATACCCGGCAAAAATGTTAACAATGAAAAAAAAATTATATATAAAAAGTAAACAGAATTGAAATAAGTTTTAGACCTACAATTGTTTTCTTACCAATTTCGTAAAACAGGATTGTAGATCGCTTAAAAAAACTATTTCTTAAAAAAGTTTTTTAATTAGTATTTTATGGAGGCGATAATAAATTTGTTTTTAGGACTAAGAAAATTTGCATTTTTTGATTCAATGATAGTTGATATTTTGCTTTACTTAATAGCTTTTAATCAATGTGAAATATTAAGAACAATCAACTAAGCATTAACTATTTACCAAGGGGTTAATTTAGAATAATCATATTCCCTAAGGATAAAAAATGGAAAAACAAATTAAGCCAGAATGTTGCTCACCTTTCAATGCTTCTGCACATGAGATGATTTCAATGGTAGATTGTGCGATTGTTTGTGATATTGTGAACAGGTGTTGTTTATTTTCATTAGTAGGTTTTTGAATGACCTGTAAAAGAAAATTTAAAATTATTAATAAATAAATTAAGGGATCGCAATTTATACAATAGCAAATAATAATTCTTCAACAAAGGAGAGAAAATAAGAATCTTAAAAAGACTGTAAGAAAAATATAGAAAAAGCAAAAATGGAAAATAAGACACATAAGGGCTTTAACAATTTAAATATCTAATAACTTTTTAAGGTTAGTGATCAGAAATGATATATTTCAAGATGTTTTGCATAATACTCAACTTACTTGGTGAACCATTTGTAAAAGTTCTCTAAAATGTACAGCACAGTTGTGACCGGTCATTAGAGTTCTAGATTTCAATTCATGGGTTTCAGATGTATAAGCTGCAGCCTAAAGAGCAAAATACAAATAAAATTAAATAAAAAGAATCATGGCATAAATCAAGCAATGTACTTCAATAAGATTCTTTTTTTAAATTTCATATTTTGTTTATTTGAGATCTCTATTAAGGCAACTATATGCACCAAATAGAGAAAGAGAGGATATAGTACTAACTAGGACATACCTTTGAGACCATGAGTAAGTCAAAGATAGCTTTTCTTCCCATATTGGCAGCAACAATAATATCTTCTTGCTTGCAACTTTTACCAGCTGCAACTGCTTTACTTGTAGCTAATGTAACAGGCTTGGTTGCTTTTACCAAGTCTTCAGCAGTTGCAGAGCGCATAGGTGGATCAGGTAAATCATATGCCTATAAAGGAATATTGATTTATTATTAATATGTGAAGTTTTCCAAGTAGCATAATGATACTAGAATAGAAAAAAAAACAACAATATCTGCTATTGTAGTTCAGTATTCAGAAATAAGATGATCAAGATTGCTTTTCATACCATAACAACTTATCAAGATTGCTTTTCATAACAACTTTTTCACAATATAAAAAGTATTAATTACAAATTATGCAAGCATATATGTATTTTTTTATTACAAAAAACTTATAATAGAAAATATTGATAACATAAAAGTTTAAATACTAAATAAAAAATCAAAGTTTGGAATTTCATAAAAAAATGGACATAAAATACATTAAAACAGTTAACAAATTCATGCACAATTCAAGAATTTAATTCTGGTCAGTTTGGGCTTTAAAGTAATCTTTACAGATTTTTATTATTGCTACTACAGCAATTTTAGCTATTAATTTAATTTGTTGGCTGCAGTAATCTAGTAACTAGTTTAGAAAATTACATATGAAATTCTCCCATACATAAAGAGCAACATGTAGCGCCATTATTCCTTTACTGTAAATTGTTATATGCATTTTTAATTTTAAAATTCCGATATTTTTCTGCCACACACGATGCATGTAAAACACAAATCAATTATTTTAAATTTGATAATTAATCTAATACTTAACAATAACTATAAAGAAATTAATTAGAAAATCTAGTTGTAGGGGAAAGAAAATATAGTAACTAACAATTGTAAAATATTCTTTAATAATTTAAAATTTGTTAGTTGGTCTAAAATTATCAAAAAATTGTTATGATTAGCAAATCACGTTATAGGGAAATGTAAATATGGCCTGCATAAGTAAAACACTGCTTAATAATTTAAGATTAACTGCTTCCTCTAATAAAATGACTTGGGTTTCAAAAAAAAAAAAAAAAAAAAAAAAAAAAAAAAAAAAAAAAAAAAAAAAANNNTTTGTACCAGTGTTCATGCTAAACGCTTTTAGAAAGGTGGCCCATCTTGTCTGCTCCTAGATCCTTATAAATGTACCCTCTATTTTGTAAAAATAAGCTGCCAACCCTTAAAACACTGCCTTTTCATTCATATCACATTTGAAAAGAATTATTCTACTGTTTAAATAATAATTACAGACTGATACAAATTATCTGTGCTTATAGGTTTAATTTTTATAAGTATCTCTTTTCTCAGGCGACTTGGTATATAATAAATTTTGATTTAAAGTTTTAAAATTATTTTTTAAGTAAATAAATATCTCTTTTTATTTTTTAAAAAAATGCACCATTAAATGTTAATTTTCTTATAATTCACAGTTTAAATTATAAACAAAAGCTTTCAAGTCATTTTTCAATTAATTCTTTTAGCGTACTTTTTTGAAAAAAATTTATGCATGTATGTTTTTTAGGAAGCCTTTAAATAATTTTATTAACTACACATTTTCTCTCATTTTGATAATGAAAGAATTATTTTTTGAAATATACACACAAAAATAGTATAAGAGGGTAATTTAAAAATTTCTAATGATCAAATTCAGTTATTACATAATATTACATAGTTTGACGAATTTCAACAGTGCTAACTTAGTTAAGTGCTAGCCTTTCAAAACTCTAAACCTTTTCTGAGAGGTAGCGTCCTGTCATTTTTTATTCTTCTGTAGTACTATTTTATTGGGGAATAATATTTTAAAACTGTCAAGATTAAGTGACTAAAATTTTATTTAGATATCTTACCCTGATTTCTTGTAAGATAGCTTCAATCGTAGATTCCAGTGCACGTGTACCCCTTGAGTGTTCGTCTTCCACAGATTTTACAGTTTTAAGAAGAGATGTAACATTGGTAACCATAACCTGTAACAGTTTATTAATGTATATTAAATGTATGTATTTTTTGTTATAAAAAGTAAACATAAAATTGCAAAAGTTTTATTAGATAAAAATTTTATAAATTAAGAGAACTAATGTTACAAGGATTATCTTTGTTTAGATGCAGAAAAATAGAAAATAGTACAAATAATTAAAATTATATAAAAGATAGCAAAAAGGCAACCTTTAATTTTTAATAATTTAAATGGCTTAAAATTGTGATTCTAAACCTTTAATAACAAAGACATTACATTCAAAAACATTTATTGATAATATCAAATAGCATACAAAATTTATTGTAAGATTAATTTATTTACAATTTGATATATTTGTGATAAACTCACTAATTTAGGCACATATTTTTCTTCTTCAAAATAAAACAATTTAGACATGTTTCTGTCAAACACAATATATCAGACATATGCTTCATAAAATACAACTAATTTTATAAAAATTATCAGAAAACTAAACTTTAAATCGAATTAACAATATAGCTTTTTCAAATTAAGATAAAATGCAGTTCTATCATTAAACATGTTCAAGTTTTAATTTAAACTAAAATAAAGTTACGCAGTTTAAATAATTTCTGCAAAAATAAATCCTGGTGTACTTTATTCTAATTTTTTTTTAATATCAATAAGTTAATAAAATCTCAGTATGTGCAAATAACAGCAACAGCTATCTTAACAAATTTTTTTAAAAATTACATAGTGTGTAAGTAGAGTTTGCAAATATTACATTTATTAATTTAATGATGGAATTGCTCACTAATAAACATTTATTTAATTAACAAATAAAAAATACTTTCACTTCTAACAATAAAACTAATCTTTGATCTACTTACAAAATAATACATTTCTTGAATATGAATGAGACGAAAATAATACTGATTGACAAATTAATACTATTTAACATTTGGTAGAGGAGCTAGTAAAATTACTAATATTTCTTGCCTTTCTCAAGTCAAATTTAAACATTAATATGCATGATTAAATATAAATCAGTTGTTACTTTCAGATTTAATTTTTTTCCCATTATACCTCATAATAAAATATTTTATTTATCTATTTAATTACTCAATTTAGGCTATAAGAAAATAAATTTAGGCTCCTCATTCTTTGTAGCAACTTCAATCCATAGTTATTTAATATGGTTAACAATTGTATATTACATATATTTATCAAATTTTCATTACTGATACATACAATAACTATAATGTTAAGCAAAAGTTTGGAATTGTAAAAAAGTAATAATAACTATTCTAATTCTCTAATTTTTAATGCGATGATTAAAAAAAAAAAAATTATAATGGTTTCCAATTATAGTTATTTTTTATGAATCATAATCATACAATGTTGCATTATACTTTAAGTCATCACTAATATTGCGCAACGTATTTAGCAAGAGTCAGTAACGGTACTGAAAATTTAAAAAAAAAAGTCTAAACAATTACAAATAAGAAAAATAGTAAGAGGAAACATCTAACAAAATATGAACAGGAAACAATTTAAAAGTACACAAATAAAATAAATTATTAGTGTAATTACAAATTAGCAATAAAAAACAAATTTCATAACTAAATAAACTATTACTAGATTAAAAAATTTCATTCATTTCAAAAATATACAGATTGGAAATAGCAATTGACATGTTTCAAGTACTCAAAAATGGGCACCTATTTTCATATTTTTGAAGTGAATGAAGCTTTTTTATCAAGTAATATCTTACTGGTTCAATTTCTAAGAATTATTTAACTAAATAAACTATTACCAAACTTAAACAATAAGATATGTCTCAGTCATATAAAAAATATGCAATTAAAAAAATTATATAAATAAAGCTTTGTCAAAACAAAACAATCTAAGTACAGAGAGTTCAAAAAGCATTTAATCAGTTAATATATGAGTATAAAATTATTCACTTTAGTTAAAATTACTAATTTATCCACTTATGTCTTGTATTTAAAATTTTTTCCTAGAATGTGGGACATTGCCTATACCCTTTTAAGGAATAAGAAATAATCTAATATTTCCTTGGTACAGGAATGACTTTCTAACACTGAAAAATAAGAAATATGAAGAGTAGTTTTGTTCTTGCTAACAAAAAAAAATAAAAATAAATAAATAATAATTAATTTCATATAATCTGGGATTGTATGCAAGCTGATCACAAGAAAAGCAGAACTTCATTTGGAAAATTGAAAGAGGTCAAAATAAGTTATACATAAAATTTTAATATGCACATTTTTAAATATATATACAGTGAAACCTCTCGGGAGTGACCATATTTGGCATTTTCCACACTTGGTGCAGAGCTTTGCCTGGTTGCTTGGAGAAGTTTTGATGTTCTTTCCTAAAGGTTTTCTTCAACACAAAGTCTATGGAAAAAATTTCGTATCTCTCAAAAGTGGTTGTAAAGAGAGGAGGTTGCTACATAGACTGTCTTTCCTGGAGGTTCCACTGTATTTAAAGTAAAATCTTTTCTTTTTTTTTACAGATAGAGATTTAAGGGGAGATGCTAGCAATTTCTTTTAAAGAAACACTCTAATAATAAGCGCTAGCGCAGTATATTTTCAAAATTGTTTTGGCATATTAATTTTATAAATTTGAAGTTTTCATTTTAAATTAAGTAGCACATTTTTCATTTCACATATTATTCTAAGATAAAAGCTTAATTAGTTTAATGTTAACACAAGTCTTATAATTTAAGGAATCATCATTCATTTAAGAGGATATCCTTAAAACATACAGAGATAGAACTTAATTTCAGGAGAAAAAAAATTAACATTTTCAGGCTTTCCAAGAAAATTCTCACAAAATTTTGGATCATGTGTATTTTTTTAAACATTGCAAATTTGCATAAAGAAAATATTGTTTTTCATCCAATACATAAAAAACAGTTTGGAGCAAGAAATTTTTGAACCACTAGAACCACCTTAATATTAATAGTTTTTTAATTTTTGGATCATTAATTATAGACATAAAATTTTCCTTTGCATCTCAAATAACTTTCTGTTAACACTTAGTTAACTTTCTGTACCTAGTGGACAAGCTATGAATTACAAAACTAATAACACAGCAATTAAATGCAGTTCAAGGTAAGCTAGTCTTTTTTTTCCAAAAAATTTCTAATGAAACAATATCCATTCATCTTCAAAGAATTTCTGATGAAGTAACATTAATTCAGAGCACTGAAATGTTTAGTGGACGAGCAATGGAGTCGTATCAACTTCGTCCAAAGCTTCTGACTGCTCTGAGAGCAAACGAATGAGCTCGTCTTCTTGGTCAGAGTGGAGCCACTCGTCCGACGTGTAACTCTCACGAACTGTCACCTAATATGAAGAGACAGAGAACAAAGATGTCACCCAACACTGATGTCTCTTAGATAAACATTTTCAGGTTGTTAGCCACATGCATCTAACTAGACAACCACATGAAGTGATAGATATGCATCTCATCAAATCGAGTGGTGTAATTAAAAAGCTCTGATTGATTGATTAAGTCCTGGTGTAAGCAACAAACAGGCACCTCTTCCTAGTTTGCGACTCAAACCTCAGTCACACGTTGTTGATCATATTGCAAGTCACCCTTTACTATCCAACCTTCTCTATCATGCTTGTACCGGATCCTTCTCTCTGGATGATTTATGGATTTTGCTTGTTCCCATTAATCAACAAAAATTACTTCAAGTTAGGCTTAAAATTAAACTATTGCTGAAGGTAAAAGCATATATCTTTCAGATGAACTATCATGAATTGACAGTGTTTATCTTGAAAAGTAAACTAAAAGAAAAAACTATTGGAGAGGTCTTAAAAATTTGAAATGATTTTAAATTAAATTATTACTTTGACGGCAATTTTAAAAATCAACATAGCCCATCAAAGTTAGGTGATCTTTAGCCAAAAGAGATAATGCACCACTGTGCAGACCTGCAGATTCAAGATTCTGAATTTACTTATGCTACACTCTCACCTTAATTGGTGACCCGGACATGACACTTTGCCTTGGGTGGATGTTAAAATCTCACGATTGGAAATAGTCATTAGCTATGAGACATAACACACTACTGTGCAACCCAACAGCTCTGAAGCTTTATCCTCCTTTACTATCACTTTGAATGCTCTAACCTCATTCTTTTGTCGATCTTCATCATAGTCTTTATCAACAGCACCACTGACAAGATTTATAACTATCACTTCACACAGTTCTCCTAGATAGCTGTTAATATCCATTCCCAGTAAAAACAAACAGTAGGTCTGGGAAAAAGTGACATGCTAAGAGTCAGTGAAAGTTGCACCTATGTTCTCTGCTCTTAAGTGTATAACATGCAGGAGAGAGTTTACTAACATGCTACAGAAATTGCAATTCTTTTTCACTGAAAGAATAGCTCAAAAGACACTAGAATATATAAACCACCAACTAATATAGCATGCAATATTATAGAGGATTATTACAAATTTCATAAACTTTAAATGAGATAAAAATTTGAGATCATCAGGAGTGATTGTGGGCCCAACTCAAAAACCCTGAAAATTTCTGAGTAAAAATCATTCAAAAAATTAATATCTTTGCAAATTTAAATCATTGAAATTTTCAAAACATGATATTCTAAATGAATTATATGCAGCATAACTTAAATTAATAATTATGTGTAAAGTTTACTTTTATCTCTAATCACATTTATTATTCTACCAGCAAAAATATTTAGAAATGAAAGAGATGCCAAGTATAAATTCCAGTTCTAATATTTTTAAATAAAATACACAAGAATTTTGATAGAATGTGATTGATTTCTTGAAACTTCCCGACTTTGGATTTTCGGTTTTTCGGAGCACAATCACCCCTGGATCATGTAACTGTCTCATTAGTTTTAGCTATTTAAGCAGTATAGCACAATTGTGCTCTAAAAGGTATAGTACACATTTTGCTAATGATTTTTACTGGGTGTCTCAAAGATTTCGAGCAATTTGAAAAATCAATTTCAAAAAATAAATAAATGAAAGTGGAAGGAGATAAAAATATTCTTGCTGCAATCTGCTCGAGAAATCAGATGTTTCTAATAAAAAAACTTCGTTAAAAGGTACTATTTACCGAGAAAAACTATAAAACAATGCTTTCAAAATAACCTGCTTTTGCTGCAACAATGTCATACAATCAGAAGACTGAATAAGCAGACGGTATTTCAGTTAGAATAGACTGATATGCAGCAAAAAACATTGTTTTAAAATATTTTCAGACAACAACATCATCGACTGACAAACTTTATAAGCAATTTTGAAATTTCATTAGAAAAATCTCTTGTTTCCCGAGCAGAGCATAAAAAAAAAACAAGTTAATTTATTTCTTACCATTTTCTTTTAATTGATTTTTCAAATAGTCTGCCATTTTTGTGGCATCCGTTAAAATATATAACAGTGTAGAAGGTAATTAAGCTTTAACTGTAACATTAAAATGATACAGTAAAACCTCTCGGGAGCGACCTCTCTCTGTTCAACTGTAAAATGGTCATTCTTAGAGGTTACCTGCATTGACTTTGAAACGTTATCGAAGGTACATGATTTTTCACAAACGATTTTAAATTTGGTCAGTGTGATTTTCTTAGTGCGGAAATGCCACTTGCATCATGAAAAACCAGAGCGACTAATAAAATTTAGCGTCAATATAAATGATCATTACAGTTATAGTTATCAGTAAAAACAAATTTTCCCAATGATAGAACTATTTTCAAGAAATAAACAATAACTGCAACATAATGTTGAAGATTGACTGCAATATAATATTTTTTAGTGTTTCCTTATTTGACCTTTTCAGCATTTGGTGTGGTGGTTTTGACCGGTCACTGGCAGAGACTTTACTGGTCTTTCCTAAAGGTTTCCTAAAACGCAATGTCTATGGAAAAAATTCTCTGCTGCCCCCAAAGTGGTTGAAATAGAAAAGGTCGCTATATAGAGGGGGGTCCTTCCTGGAGGTTTCACTGTATTAACATTATTAGATAATGTATTATTATTTAAATATATCTATCATTTAAATTTTATATCATTTCCAGAAAATAATTTTTTAACTGCTGTAATAAAACAATAACTGACATGACTAGGTTTTTTCAATATCAAGACTAATTTTAAATATCATATAAGGAAAAAATAAAAAAGAGCTTTTAATTTTATTTCAACACAGGTTTGCATGAATTTCGTAATTGTTTTTTTTTTTATCAGGTATACAAAAGAATTTATCACAGTTTTTTAATTTTTAAATATTAACTATACAAGATAGTTTTTGATTTTTAATTAGTACAATAAGCAATAAAAGTATTTTTAGCATATGGCCATTGAAATTAAGTAACACTGAAATAAATTGAAAAATTTGAATATTAACTATGTATACACCAATTTAAGGTTTTCTTTATAAGTAAAATGAAGTAGATTATTAAAATTATGCAGTAGCAATATTAAATTGCTTCAATGTAGCATTAATTATTAAACAAATAAGCTCAGACAATAATTTTTAACTTAAGCATTAAACCAAAGCATTAAGAAAAATAATACTTTATTAAAGGCAGTTAAATTAATTTATTAATCAAATTTCATGTATGGTATAATTTTGTATAGTGATGAAAAATTTGTTGAATAATTGAAATATAAACCAATTTAATTAATAAACATTTAAATCTCCTTTTTTATGTAACTATAATATGCACAAAATTTATGTAATGTGTACTTACTTTTGCAGAGTCTCTCAAATTGATCATGGCAGGATGATGAATATTTTTACCTGATGCTGCTTTTGTTGCTTGAACTAAATCACCTAAAGCAGTGGCTACATCTTTAACAGCATTGATGAGCAAGACCTAAAGTCAATTGGCACATTATTATGAAAATTCATTTAAAAGTATTAAGGTTACTTGGTATTTTTACATTTTAGGCAATAAATATGTTTGCTATTGAAATAAATACGTGGAACTTTTATTAAACTACATTCATACTTACCTCATATCAGTAAATATCATAAAAACAACCACAGTATCACTAAAAAGTTATCTATTCATCAATAATTTTTAAAATTTAAGATAACTAAATAAAAGAATAACAATAGTAATAAAAAATGCTAGGTTTGGTCTTTACATATATTGATTTTATTTAAGACTAATTTTTTTTATTTTATAAATACCATATATATTGTAAGTAAAAAGTTTAAATTTATTACGATTTTTTATTTTTTTGTGATTTATGAAGCATGTTTTGCTTTAAAAATGAAAAATATAAAAAACATCAAACCAAAACATTTTTTGGAAAATGCAGCCATTTATTTAGGATATTTTTGATAAGAAATAAAATTTATTTAAGCATAACAACTTTTAAAATTCTCTTTCTGATGGAAAATTGGGGAAAAACGGATATCATTTTAAAAAAAAATGTCAAATCACTTTAAAAAAAACACACACACCTTAAAACAGAATGATTTTCAGTAGCTTTAATTCACTAATTTCCTAAAGCAACTTAGCACATGAGCAGATACAACACTTAGGTAAGAAACTAAATTAAAATAGATCTATATAGCTGTTTTGCTATTATCATAATGAGCAGAGAAATATACTAGTTAAAAATAACAAAATATTTAAAAACTCAATTGTTAGTTATTCTATTAAGTAATTAAATTATCTAGTAGTTAAAAAACTCTTTTTGAATTAAAAAAAAAACAATTGAGTGCTTGGTAATAATAGATTTTACTAAAAAATTGTTTGCAGATTTTTTAGAATAGCATTTTAGTGCTATTTTAAGAGCATCTGGACATAGACAAAAAGTACATGGTAAAGATAATAATAAAAAAAAATTAAGATTTAGAAAACATATTTATTATAATGTGCAACAAAGAAAGTAAGTTTCGTACTTGGGCATCAGAGTTGTTTGCACCAAGAGAAGCAGCTCCAAGTTTAACAACCTCAGCCAATTGTATGATAGTGGTAACAGCATTCTGGGCAGCAACAGCAAGTTGTTCTTGGCTGGAAGCAGCTCCAGCAACAAGAGTCTTTGTGTCTTCCACAAGTGCTTTAGCAGTTTTTAGAATATTCTCCCTGCAAAATTAAACTAAACGAGTTAGATAATTGGAATACATAATTTTTGAAACAAATACAATGAAAAGTTCCAAATTTTATTTTGATGCAGTTGGTAGTATTTTAAAATAGCTTGTCATGTTTGATATTTAAAAATAAATCATCAAAAGAATCAATGTAACTCAAGATAAAGAGTAAAAACTAACCTATGATCTGAAAATGTTTCGTTCTCGTTTTCAGCATGCAATGTACCAGCTGTTGCAAACATAATAGTTGTATCCAGGTCACCAATTATTCCACTGACAGTGCTGGCGGCATTGATACAGGCTTGAGTACCTCGAGAGCCAGCTTGTAATGCTGCAAGCACAAATGAAACCTGAAAAAGAACAATTCTGTTAAACACTAATATACTGCAAAACCAAATACAGCTAATTAAAAGAAAGTTAGGATTATTTTGAGTGTAATTTGAAACTAAATAAAGTTATATTTTTCAGTACTTAGAACTTAATTCTGTACAATTCAAACTAAGACTTAGAAAATAGTAGTATCTTTTCATAATACTGTGCAGCCCTTAAGTAGCTGTGAGGTCCAACCACCAATTTAGTAATTATGACGTTTAAATGTTCACTAAATTTTTTGAACATACATTTTAGAAACATTAATGTGAAAATAACAAACAACGTAAAAGAATTCTTTAACACTAACTTTTTCAGTGACTGTTCTGGCACTGTCTGAAACATCTCTTTGACTATATGTATCAGAAGGATTACTCTGGCAGGTACCAGCAGCTTTTGTTAAATCAATGCATGCAGATCCCAGATCTTGAACACTTGTCTTGATTCTGTTGGCAACATCAAGATTAGGCGTTGATGATATGGCTCCTCGTGTATCTATGGCAACATTTTCAAACAGGTGAGCTAATCTTCCTGCTAGAGGTCCCAGCTGAGCTGCATCAGTTCCAGATTTGACAATCTGAAAAAAAGAAAATAAATTTATTGAAATTTAGATTATCAACTACTTTAGAAAAATCGGAAATAAATATTTATACAAGGCATACAAACATAAAATAGAATTTTTTCCTTTTTCTTTAAATTAAAGTAAGCATGATTTGCTTCTAAAATAAGTTTAAAACTTGTTAACTGAGACATTAAATTCAGGTTTTAAAATGGTCAAGCTAAATGGTAATATAATACTTTAAAAAAATTATAATTTACATTGTCATTTTCTAATATTTTGGGACAGTTCTAAAAATACTATTTTTTATTGTTCAATATATTTGTTAAAACAATATTATTATAGTAACTACGATTAGAACAAAATATTAATACAAAATTAAACAATAAAGGAGTATTTCTTTTAATTTTTGTGCTTTGTATTCAATTCTTTATTTTCATATCATTTTGAGACAGATTGCATTCAAGAATTTAACTTCAATGATAGAATGATACATTGTATATACATTTGCAATGCAATCAATAAATACATTAATTTGAATTAAACATAACTATGATTAGAATAAAATATTGTTACAAAAATAACATATAAAGGACTAGTTTTATTCCAATGATAGAACTATATCAGGGTGCGTAGCCAAATCTTTGAATCAAAAATAAGCACTTTTTAAAAACTTTTCAAGCACTTTACAAAAATTTTCAAGTACTCAAAAAATTCAGATTCAATCAATGATATCATTGAAAAACAAAAACATTTTATAAACAGTTTTAGCGTTAAAAAAAAAACCCCAAAAGAAACGGACGTAAATCGAAACAATCAGTACTTTCCCTCATCACCGAGTGAATTCAACTTGACCCTGAACTCAGAACAAAAGTACCCTTACCCCAGGGTTTAGGNATTTAGTAAAATCCTTTAGCAAAAATGCGAAAATGCTTTGTTGAATTTTAGCATTTTTGAGGGGTCTTTTCGCATTTTGCGAAAAAAGCTACCGTAGCGGAAACCCTGCCTTACCCCCTACGCCAAAAAAGTGTTAGAAGTAAAATAGAATAAACAAGAATAAAATTAAAAGAAATTAAAAAGAAAAACATTTCATAAAGATTTGAAGAATTGGAGCACTCGGGTTTCGGTTGCAAGTGTGCGCGCATGCGCAAGTCTTAACGTGGGTACGACATGAAGTTCGCGTGAATGATTACGTAACAAACACTCCATTTTTCGTGAAATGCATGGGATCCACCAGATATCACCGAGGGGAAAAAAAGCACTTTTTAAAAACCCCAGCTGAAAAAAGCACCTTTAAAAGCTTTTAAAAACGAAATCCCCAAAAAAGCACCTTTAAGTACTTTTTACAAACGCTACGCACCCTGTATATGTATATACATCTCTAATGCCGTCCGTAATGTGCGGCTATTGGTTTAAAATTTAAGGTTTTCATTTTCACATTGTTAGGTGTCAGAGTAGAGTAAGTTATATATATAATTTTAATTCATAAATTAGAGAGATGGAAAAATTTATGAGGGGAATAATTACTTTGATTTTTACAATAGTGAATAAAATTTTTTTAGCATTAATATTCACAAATTTTTAAAAGTAACTAAACTTAGTTTTTGAAATATAAAATATTTGGATTAATTAAATTAAGGGTGCAATTTTGTGTTTAGAAAATTTTTAATTCTTTAATAAAAAGTGCATTTGAAATAAATGAAACACAAACAGTTAGTACAAAATATAAATCAGATTGTGCAGCATATTTACCATTTCCTGAGCAATCTTGGCTATTTCTTTTGAATTAGTCACCATTCTAGTTTGGAAATCTACAAATGAGCTTTCTGGCACTTCAATTCCATCCCTCTCATCCACCTGAAACAAGACACACACATTTGATTCTAGTTTCATAGTAAATAGCAACTCATTTTAAGAGTGGCAATTTCATTAAAAAAAATTACCTTCACAATTGCTCTGTTGATGGTGTCCACTAAGCCAGTCACAACGCCAGCTTCAGTGGCAGCACATTCCACAGTACGCATCAGGTCATGCAGAGCCTCTTTCATGCCATCAGCAGATTCATCCAGTTCACAATGAATATGAGAGGCCTGTAACAGAAAAAAATATAATTTAAATATCTTTGTTAAAAACTGCTGCACAAATATGAAATACTCCTTACAACTTTAATACTGATAACATTTTCACACAATGTAAGCTTACAGACATGAAACAGATGCAAAAAATATTTATTGGAACAAGTCAGTGAGTATGTGTTTCTCACCCATTTTGGTTTTACATTTCTATAATAAGTAAAAAATAAAAAAATAAATAAATACTTCACAAGCTCCTGCCAAAAACTGTTTAGATAAAAAAAAATAAAAAAAAGCACTCTATTTACTACATAGATGACAAGTTAAAATGTAATTAGTAATAAAACAATAAATTGTACTGACACTTCTATAAAATACATTTTCGAGTCTCTAAAATTTTGATGCTGTCAATCACAGTTACCTAAATAATTACAGAAACTGGTTAATGAGGCTAGATGCAAATGAAATAGTAGCGGCAATATAAATATGGGAGTATCACAAAAGAATGACCAGATTTCAAATAGTAATTACTACAATAAAATTACACATCAATGATGCATGAAATTAAAAAAAAAAGTATTCCATTATTACTGTTTTTAAAGTTACAAACGTTCGATGTGCGATCCTTTTATTACACAACAAACATCTAACCTATAATAAAGCTTGTTTTATTGTCAATGTTTTCTAGTGCTGCAAAAATACACTCTTTAAGTTCTTCAAATGTTTTCAGCATTGGAGGTCTAAAAACAGCATCTTGGGCATGGGGGGAACAAATGCTTTACACTTAATCCCATTGACCCCCAAGATCTTAGGGGATTATTCTAAATGTTATTCTAAACTAAGGGGACTATTCTAAATGTAATCACTGTTGTCAATGCCAAAGTCACTACAAAATTGCATTTGCCACAATCATGAACTATTAATAATGTGAAACTACAAAAATGTGCAGAACAAACTTAATAGCTGATATTGAAAAGTTTGTGGTTTATTAAAAGGGTCAAATATCAAACTTTGGTAACTTAAAAAAGCAAACAAGCTTGTTATCTTTCTGGGAATCTTTATATGCCTAATAATTTCAAAAATATTTATATTTCAAATACATCATTCATTTGTGATAATTCCATACTTAGTTTTAATGTTATCAGCAGTATCTGTACTTTTTTTTTCTTCACAATTTTTGGTAATGTGATACAAATGTTGTACTTACTTTTGGATTTCCGCCAGCTTCTTTAGAGGCATAAATAAGCTGCAGTGCACATTCTGCAACAGTTTTTGTTTGATCCAGAAGTGCCATCTGTTGTTTTGAGTTAATAGTTTTTGATGCACTTCCAATTGCACTGTGGACGAGAGGATCAAAGAAGGAAGTCATTTGAGTCACCTAAAATTAGAAGAGTAACAATTAAAAACACAAACACATAACTTTAAAGAAATACAAAATAAAAAAACTATATATATATATATTGAGAGAGAGAATCAGGTAAACAAAAAACTTTTTAGAACTAGTTAAAAGGATTAAAAATGTATTAAAATTTTTTACATTTTTCAGAATATATCTTCTTTCATACGATACACATGAAAAGGAAGAAATAAGTATAATGAAATAGTTTCTCAGTAAATTTAAATTACATAAAAATTAACTAAAAGATCTATCTACATCTATCCATATAAACAAAAAGTTCTATTTAGATCTATATAAATTGATATTCATAAAGCAAAATTTACAATCCAATAATTACAGAATACCAAACAATTTATACATAATAAACTGCTAATAAAATATTTAAAAAATAAAAAATATTGTCTTTTAAAGATAATGTAGCAGGCAAAACTATTTATTGATAAAGGTTTTCAAAATATACACAAAATGATTAAAGACAGAAAAGGAATTCATTTTTTCCATATTAACCTATAAAGAATTACATGAATTCCCTTAGTAGTTTTGTAACAAAGTAAGACGTTTAAAAATTTCTTGTTTCAGTTTATTTAGTTTAAATATATTCTAATGAACTTAGTTGTCAAATTTTAAGGTTGAAAGTAGATCTTTTTGCAAGTTTAAGTTTGGTACTAGCAACCAAAATTTAGCAATTAGGTTCAAAAGAACACACTCCAATAACTAAAAAAGAAAAAAAAAATCTTAGTAAGTAAACAAGGAGGAAGGACCATAAATTTTTTTTTCTTTTTTGTTATAAGAGGTATTAAAAACTAAATATTTAAACAAAAGCTTCAAATTCTGGTATGAGATAATAAATACTAAATTATATGATAATTAAATGTTAGTGTAAGTTTATATAAATACTAACCTTAACATTTCACTCATCAAAGGTAAGCTACAAGAATAATAAACTTTTGCTATAATTCTCAATATAAATAGTAGTTTTGATTTTATGAAAGTTTTTAATGATAAGATATTACTCACAAAGTGTTCATATACAACAGACAGTAAGAAAAATTTCTTTTTCAACAAAAAAATTAACTTACTAGATGACCTAATTTCTCAGCTTCCCCCATTGCTGCAGTACGTACGCCATCAATCCTCTCCAATATTTCAGATGCAGATGATTCCATTTGCTCTTGATAACCCTATAAAGAAGAGAGAAAAAAATAGCAAAATTAATTTATCTTGTTAATACAGATTAACATAAAAGTAAAAGCAACAGAATTTAAAATCAAACATAAATATAGTGAATCTTACCTTCTGAGATTTCTGAAAAATTGCAACAGATAAGAATTTCGTGCACTTTAAATCATTACATAGTTTAAAAATGAAACAGTAACAATAACTACACATTTGAAGAAAAAAAATATATGTGTATGTAGGGAGGCTACAAAAACTGAAAAGAAAAGTTTCCTGATTTTGAAACTTGTGGCATAAATTTTATTACTGTTTTTTCAGTTCTGTATTCCTCATGATTCGCATATGTAAAATACATTATGAATCACTTTTATAAGCTACTGATATAAAATATTTTTTAAAAAAAATTAAAGTTTTTTTTTTTTTTTTTTTAAATTGAAAGTTTTAACATATGTGGTTAAAAAAAAATGACCATTAATAGAGCATGTAGAACATACCTTCAAACTGTGATCCTTTCGAGGCAAAGAATTTTGTCCAATAATACTGAGTGAAGCTCGATCAAGCTCACGAATACAGGAGCTAAGCTTTTCAATTGCCGCATCACATTCTTTCTGACCAGGAGCTTTATCCCTAAAATAAATAAACACATATTAGTTTTTGTCTATGCTTAATAAACTAGTGACCTTGACATACAAAAGGTAAAGTATTTGATTGTGCAATCAGGATTTTAAGGTTCGTTAATTTTTCAATACTTGAATAAGAAGTATCGAGATTTTACTTTAAAAAATAGTTTACTTTTGCTTTGTCATAGAAGTTACTTCTATTCTAAGAAGCTAAGAGTTAAAGAAATCAATTTAATCAGCAGAGTTCCAGAAACTTTTCAAAGTCAGAGCTCAAAATACAAAACTATGTTTGCTTAAATGCTGCCATGTAGTTTAATTAGTCTTTGAATGGATTAGAGATAACAAAAATATATAACAGGAAATTCTGACAAAATGTTATCATTACGTTTTAATTACACACACCATGGTTAAGCACCTAGCTCTGACTTTCAGGACTATCTTTTGATAGTTATGAAAAGATTAAATTGTATTTTTTACCATTTTACAGAGAACGTGAACAGTATCTGAGCTGATGCTCTGCCGTAATTTGGGTGGCTGACATCCTTCAACTTACACATCACACAGATAGGTAAGCTTCCAGAAATAACAGATTTAAAGTGTGTGCACTTTGCTGCAAACAAACACCTGTTGTCGCAAAAGCCAAATTTACAATTCCGCAGCTCTCCATTAGTGGTGAGAGCAATATCTTGATTAAATGTGCCACTAGATTGCCAATATTCAAACTACAGAAATATTGCAAAACAATTTGCAGGTTATAGAGAAAAATAAACACTGAAATGCTGGATTTTAAATTATTTATCAGATGAGCAAATAAACTTGACTCACTTAATGGATGCCACAAGTTTCTTTATTGAATCTGAGACATTTTTGCTGTGACCAGCTAAAGTTTGCCATGTTGGAGGGTCACGTGGATTCACAACTAAAGATTTGGCAGAAACTATCATATTGCAGGAGCCATCAATGATATTTTTACCAGAAGAAGTAATAGGTTCTTGTGCGATTCTCGCCTGAGAAGAAAAAATAAGAATCTTAGAAGAAAGCTTTTGAAAATTGTTATAAGAATAAAGTGAACAAGAAAATATTGAATTGTCAGAAGAAAAGAAAAAAAATTACTTTTGGACTGATTTTTGCAGGTACACTTGCAAACTCTGGAGAACTTGCAAAGGTGGTAAGGTTTTCAACTGCTTCAACAAGAGGCTTAATGGCTGTGGATGTATTTTGCCTGTTCTTTTCAGTTGGATCTTGATCTAAAGCCTGATGATAATTGTTAAAAATTACTTAATCATACCGCAAAAAATCAATATAAATTTAATAAGTTAATGATTAATATGAAAAGTAATTTATGCCAAAAAAGTCTCAGTGATGAAAATATAATTAAATTTTTTTTTACTTAATTTGCATTAATTGTAATTTTTTTAGTCTTACAATTAATTTGTATTAATTGTAAGAAACTAAAAAAATCCAAATAGCATTAATAATTTAAAAAAATTCAATTTTATTAATGTCATTAGTTTAGCTCAAAAACTGGTTTAAACAAGCTTAAGTAAAAAGAAGAAAAAAAAGATTTATTTTATTCAAGAATTTATTTTATTCAAGAAAAGGAATTGTTTCAAGAAAATGTTGTTCATATTGTTTTGGTCCACAATAAATTCTCCTTTCTATCCTTATTAATTTCTTTTTGGTTGCTTTTAAAATCGTAAGCATATTAATTTGCTTCCCATATAATGCAAGTGAAAAAAGAAATACATTGAGAAAAAGAACAAAAATTTGGAATTTAATAGTGTCTTAAAAGTATTAATTTTTAGAAGCAAATTTCATAATGCAAAATGCTTTTGTAGGAGAGCTTTTTTTTAGTCAAATAAGAAATGGCATTCAAAGCTAAGCTTCAAGAGAAAAAAAATATAAATAAAAAAATGTGGCAATTTCAATTGTCCTTCTTTGGTATGAACTTCTGAAATAGTTTGTTACACAACAATGAGGGGGGGGGAGGAAACATACATTTATCTAGAACATAATCAAGTTTATTTTACAATATTCTTTTATTACAGAAAAATAACAGACAATATTACATATTTAGTGCTAAAAGTAATATTTTTATATACCTTTATTTCTTTTACCAAATTGGCTGTTGCATTGGCTACATCTTTAGCAGATTGTACGAAGTGTCGTTTGGCAACTGGATTTGATGTTTTGGATGAGGCAATTCTGCAAGAATTACAGAGAGCCGATGTGTGTTTAGCGATTACCGTTGCAGCAGATAAAATCTATAAACAAAAGAATGCTAATTAGATTTTGATAGTTAGGAAAATTTTAATGATATCACATTTCCAACTAAATTTTTTAATATTTAGAACTTATTAAGGCAGTTCTTTGCATACACTATATTATAAATTCTAAGGACAAAGAATTTTATGAACTGATCTTATTTTGATTAAAAATAAAGTAATCAACTCATATCACATATTAGTTTTGATTTGCACAGACTAAACAGTAAGGTAAGTAATAAATATTCAAGCAATGAATATGGCAAAAAATCCACATTACAGATGAAATCTAAAGCATTTCTTTAGAATATTCAACAAAAACATATAACTTTACTATAGAATATACTAATTCAGTATAACATTTAATTCAAATTTACCTGTTGTTGATTGCTAACAGAATTTGTCAGCTGTTGGCAAGCAGACTGAATTGCCTGATTTGCTCGAGCAAATTGAGCAACATCAACCAAACCTTGACGACCGGCAACACTTGAGGGATCAGACACTCCAACCAAATATGCAGCCTGAAATGTATTAGACAATAATTGGTATCTAGGTAATAAAAAAAACTTAATTTTTTAAAGAGTAATTAATTTTTTTAAACATACCTGGGCTGCAGCTTCAATTAATCCACAAACAGCGTTAGAAACATCATTAACAGAATGTCCAAACTGCTCCTGCTCATTTGATTTTGCGAAATTAGCAATTCCAGTCATTCCGTCACCCAAATTCTAGAGGGAGGGAAAAAAGTTAATTAAGAAATTTCATGATGTGTGAAAGTTCCAAGTGTCTTAAATAAAATTAACTCTTATGTTGACAAACATAGTATTTTATTAAAAATAGATGGCCACACCACAAGGAATTTTACTGTTATTCAATATGAGTGATTTCTTGGCCATGTGATACCATGTTATAGCGATCAGAATTAGAAACCCTGCGTTTTAACACAGGATCTTTTTAATTGTTATTAATTATTAATATTTTTAAATTTAAGATTTATCCCAAATCCCACTAAGCTTACAATCACTTATGCCTGTAAAGAAGAAATCAATCATCATATCAATAAAAAGTAAGTAAGTCTATTGAAAATTTTTGCAAAAGTGTGAAGGTACCATCAAAACTGTGGAGGCTATTTATCCAATATGTAATTTCATACATAACTAAATAAAAAATCAGTTTTTTTAAACAAAAACCTGTTCTTTTTTATCAAAAGTTTTTGTGTGAATTATGAGACTTACATAAATGAATTATTAAAATTGTTTACCTTGGATTTTTCAGTTACAGCATCTAAGCATTCATAATAACTAAGGTCATTGATGGGTTCTACAGGATTGTCTAAGAGAGGTCGCATACTCTGGAAAAGAAAAAAGAGAGTTATTTATGGGTAAAGAAATGAAAAGATTTTAATAATGTCATAGAGGTTTAGTAGGTATACCTGTATATTTCTGATAGCATTATCACATTCTTTTTGTCCAGGTGTTGCTGATGTACAAACATTTATTAAATTATTTATACTCTCTGTTACAGACCTATGAAATATATTTCAGAGTTAAAAAAAATAACACAGTGAATAAAGGCATAGTTAAAAATGTAAAAGAAATTTTTTTTAAATTAGTCCTTTTTTTATGGAGAGTAAAATAGTGAGTTTGGCTACTTCATGCATTAAGAAAGTGAACTACACTAATTTGCTTTAGATATATAAGCATGAAAAAAGCCTTATTGTTTTACTATTATCATTCTTATAAATCAAATATAACTATAAAATTACCATATTTATCTAATTATATATTTTTATAATCAATCAAATTAAGTTTTTTTTTATTTCTAAATTTCTAGGCATTTTCCAAGTCATAAATTTCTTTGAAACTAAAACAAAAATTAAGAAACAAAATTAATTTGTAAAAATTTAACTTTAATTGCAGCTGTTACATCCTACTTCATACAATTACATACTCAAAGATAAAGTAATTTGGAAAAAATTAAATTTTAAAAATTTATTACTGATAACATTTATTTTTAATCTTTACAAAAGTAATGAGCACAGAGTGAGTTATGATTGAGTTATTACCTTGCAGCAGCGGCAAGTTGGTTTTTGGCATTTGGTGCTCCAGGATCTGCAGCTACAGATTTAGCAGCAACTAAGAGTTTGCTAGACACCATTGACACATTTTTGAGGCTTATGACCATAGAACTACGAATTTCAGTGTCCTAAAATTAAAACCAGCTATTTCAATTTGATGCTAGCATTTCAATACATTTAATTAAATTAAGATAAAAGACCAGTGCTTACAAAACCATCAAAAAGATGCTAAAAATATAATTTATCACAAAAAATAATTAAATCTGTTTGCATGTAATAAAAAACGGTTTGCATGATTACAAAATAATAAGACAATAAAAAGTAATAATTTCCTAATTAAGCATGTAATTATTGTACTACTTGATCAAATTTTTTCAAAAAATTCACTACTATAAACAGCTAAAAAAAGCATGGGCTGCCAAAATATGGCCATCTAGTATTGCCAATCAGGCTAGCAGCCACAAGTCTAACATGCGATTAATGATATTAAATTATTTCTAAAAGCCCCCAACGATGTACTTTGGCACTATAAATAACTTATTTGCTGGCAAGTTTCAAAATGAAATTTTTAAAGCTGCAATTTGTTGGTTTGAATAGCTAACCTGGAGGCAAATGTGTTAAAATACTTAATAAATGGCAAAAGAATAAAAATGCTATGAAAAATACATGCTAATAGTGAGAAAATCACATAATTTTCTAAGTCAGAAAAAGATCGTAAACCTCATTAGTCCCAAAATTATAATGTTGCTATGTCTTGGTTTTTTGGGCTTAATGGAGGAGTGAATGCAGGATGAAGGCTGATGCATTTGGGAAATCCTGAGTGAAAGATGTTTTTTTTTTCAATTATTTTTTTTGTAAATCAACTTTTTTAACATTGTTTTAATGGCTTTCTGTAACTCAGTAGTTACAAGTTAAAATTACGTAAGCTGTACAGCAGTTGGAAGTCTTTATCTTTTTATAATAATGCAACAATTCTAATTAATACCTTAGTTCCACCAATAATTTCGACTCCAGAGTCCAACAGCTCATTGAAAGCAGAACCAAACTTTTTGGAAGAAGTGGCCAAGTGCGCAGGAGAGCCTTTAGAAGCCGCAACAACATCTGTAGCAGCCACATTCAGATTGGCGGCAGCATTTGTTAAGTTGCTCTGCAGCTCTCCATAAGACTTGTTGGGATGTGGAAACTGCAAAATAAAAAGAACTCAGTACAATAAACTTTACAATATCATAGCTTTCATATTGACAATAATTTAAATCAAATAACTTACATGTCCAGAGTTTAGGATCTGGCTGGCATCGGTTATGCTTCTAATAGCATCATCAACATCTTTTTGTCCTGGTAAGCAATTTACGCAGTTATTCAAAGCATTAGAAACAGATTTTGCAACCTAGAAAAAAAAAGTTTCACAATGAGAAACATGGTCTTTGAATATTAAGATCAAAATAAAAAAAAAGTGCTTTAAACAATATGTGTTAAAAGGTTCTCATAAATTTTTTTTTACTTCAAAACATAATATAAAAATAGCTTTATCAAAATGCTCATCAAAACAATGATAATAAATTTTCACAAAAAAATTTAAAATAATAATAATAATTTTGAGATTTCAATTACTGAAATCATTATTTAACATAATTTAAGTCACAGTTAAATTCATAAAAAAAATCAAAAAAGAAATATTGTTTATTTTATAAGTTTCACAATGTTTTCCAATTATTCTTTTAATAACACAACATTTCACAGTAAATTTAATCTTCTGACATGATTTAACTTATAAAATTGACGAGCATCAAAATTGCAGAATTTCTTTATACATAATTTTATGGCCTATTTTGATTTAGTATCATTACATATGTTGCTTTTTCTACGATTCCTTTCAAAAATTTTGAACTAAGAGAGATGCGATGTGAATATTTAAATCATCATCTGAACTTCTAAATAAAAACATAATAATTTTTGAAAGAAATTAAATATTGATATTTTAGAAGAATAAATACAAACCTGAGTTAATCTTTGTTGGATGTCTGGATTACTTGGATTATTCATAGCTCTTTGCGACTCGTGTATCAACAGCGTAGATTTGTCCATCACATCTCTGGCATTGTCAATTATTTTCAACTGAACATCTTTGTCATTTGTGGTGGCAGCAACACCTCGAACAGCTTTCGTTAATATTTTAAGTGCACTTCCAGTATCACGAGCAGCGATTCCAGTGTAGTTTTCATTTCCCTAAAATTAATAGAATATAAAAAAATTAAGTTAATAAATAAAGATAATCAAAGTATTTCATTTCTATTAAAGAAATTGTGCACAACACATTTATCAATTAATGATATTATGAATTAAATGCTGCTATATGGAAATTTATGCAAATGTTTTTGTAATTTTAATCATTCAAGAAAGAGTACAACATATAAAAAATTTAAAAGTGCATAAAAAATTTTTTTTCTTTAGCAGAATGGTTATTTTTTAGTAATTGAAGACTCTAAGTGACAAAAATTTTAAAAAAGTTAAAAATCAAATAAATTAAAAGTGAGAAAAAAACAAGAAAAAAGAGAAAAGCTGAAAAGAGAAAATTTCTGGATAATGAGAGAGTTACTCATTCAATTTTTTCAATTGTTCCTTGTCATATCAAGGGTCCTATTATTTTTAAAAGAGTGATACAAAAAAAAAATTTAAATTTTTGCAGACAAATAATTCAGATAAACACTATATTTAAATGAATAATAGTATATATTTACCTGGGAGGCTGCTGTTAACAGCTGAGCCATTGATGAGCCCACTACTTTAGATATAGAACCAAGTTGTAAAGCAGAATTTTCTAACTATTGGAGAAAAAAAAGATAACACTAATTATTAGTTACGGATAACTAAAACATTGAATATAAAATAAAAACAGATTTACTAAAATACTTTTCATTGCATGTGAATTGCAAGAAAAAATATTGCTAGCATAAATTACATTTACATAAGGCAGGTCACAATAGTATGAGGGCTGTAGACTCCAACTCATAACTTAAAATGTTTAGCTACAATGCTCTGACTTTCATAAAAGTACAATGGTATCAAATTTCAACTGTACAAGTTTAAACTAAAGGATTTCAAATACGTTAAAATTATCTAGGAATAATATAATAACGAAGTTCTTAATATATAAAACCATACTTTTAGATAAAAATAAAACTATTACTACAAACATAAAAAAATTAAATAAAAATGACCACAAAAACTTTTGTTTGATTGAAAAAAGTTATAACTTATCCAAAAATTAATTGTTGAATGATTTTTTTAATAAGACATAAAAAAAAAAAACCCAAATAGCCTGATCACATCTAACTTTAATCTTCTTCGATCTGTAGTTTTTTTTTTTTTCCTTCCATTTTTAGAAGTGTACAATACATAATTTAGCAAAGTGATTTTTTTTAAAAATCTACAGAAATATAACAAATTCAAAAATTATTTTAAAGGGGAAAAAAAAAAGAGAAAACTGACCAAAAAAAAAAAAAAAAAAANAAAAAAAAAAATTTTTGAAATTGTAGTTACAATTCAAAAATCTCATTCCTGTTTTAAAGCAATTTGTTCCAAAAAAGTAAGATGAAAATTATACCTACATTAAGGAAAAAAAAAGGCAATAAGTTTGAAATGTGAATTCTATGTTTATTATGTTAGAGTTAATACAGATAGGGAAAAAAGAAAGCAACTAAAATAAAAATGCAGTCTTACAGTTTCACCAGGTAATGGCTTGAGATTCATGTTCTCTGCAGCTCTCCTAAATGCAACAAGTTCATCATCTAATCCTCTGATGAGGTCTAAAGCATTTTCTAATTCTAAGCTTCCGCAAGCTTCTTGGGCCTACCACAATGCAACACAATTAGTACAATATACACAATTTAACAAAAAGTAATTCAAACTAACAGCAGTGACAAACTTTATAAAAGAAATTAAATAACTAATAAAAGAAATAACATATTATTTATTTTTTAGTTTGTTTACATGCTTAAAATTATAGTTACCAAAATTACCTAAAAAAAAAAAAAAAAAA